AATTTCTTTGACAAGTGCAAATAGTTGACAAGTGTGTGTACGAGTGTAAATTCGGCCAATGTTATATTGTTATAACAATAAGATAATCAATCAGCAGGTGTTAATTTTTTAAAATGTGTTAACTTTATTTACAGTAAAGTGGCAACCATCTGTTAATGCACTTATCACTTATGAAATTTCATTTCTAAATTTACGTCTGTTGATGTTGTTTGTTATGATTATTGTTTTATATTTGATGAATGTTTCACTGTTATGTCTGCAAATATTTCAGTTAAATTTCGTTGCAGACCTGCTTTGCACCGCGCATCTGCCAAGTGAAAATATGTATTTGAAAGAACATTGGTTTACTAAAAATAAAAGTAGGTATTTTATAAAGAGGACTGTATATGGCAACCTAAAGTATTATCGAATTATGAACCAATAAATGATTTTAAAACCGGAGAAAGATTTCGAGGATTCTTTGAGGAGCAAATTTTATTTGATTAAAAGTGGAAACAAAATTAAATGTGCGAATTTTCAGTCTATCGGTGGCTTAATAGTTTAATTTTTCATTATCATCCTGGGAAATCGATTACTGCGAAGCCGGATGTTTTCAGTTATTCCGGAATTCGTAGTTGGCTATGTGACAAGTTATTATAACAATTCTTTTCAATGCATTAACAAGGAAATGAATAGAAAAAAATCAAAATCGTGTTCTACCATAATTTATGACATTCCAGTTATTGTTGTTCGTCCTTATGCCAAGAAGAAACTAAGTTTTTTTATGCAAGCGAAACTTGTTCATTGAATCTCCCATATCTTCGACGTTGATTTGATAAAATGAAGTAACCCTCAGATTTTTTCTCTTCTTTGAACCATACTTATATAAAATTTGTCATGTTGTCATTTACATCATTTATCCAATGGCATATATTTGTTTTTCCTATTTTAGATTTTAAATTTTCTTATAGTTAGCTTTGCAAATTTATTCAAAAACTAAATGCTTAATGAAAAAAGGAAGTCTTTTAAAAACCTGCTTTTATTGCAATGGGAGTGGTATCTGCCAAAAAGAGTGAATTATTTAATTGACACCTGCGCACTCTTCTTTTTTAATTTATTATGTCATATAACTAATGTCATATAACTAACTAAGTATCTATTTAGATAACTAGCGAGTGTTCACGGTGAAACAGACTTATTTCTAGTAATAATTCAATGGATATTTTATTCTTTACTACAAATTTTACAGTGGATATAGTGAAAAAAAAATATTCGTTTTATTTAGACAGTTTCATATTTGTCAGAATTTTTCACCATTGTTAGTAATTTAATTTATAATCTTTTCCAGTTGATTACTTGAATAGTTATTTTAGTTTTAATTTCAATGATCAAAGAGAAGAAATATTTTTGAACAACACGTTTTTGTTATTATTTTGCCGTTTTTTTGACAATATTTACTGTTGAGTTGAATTGACATGAACTTCGCTAAGATTTGTTTTTAATTCGCCTTTAATGTCACAAAATAATGATAATCGTTTCCTCTTTCTTACTTGCCGAATAATGGTAATTTTTAGTGAAAAAATTCGTTTCCGCTATTTTTCCATTTAGAAAATTTATTACAAGCTTATTTTTCGTCATTTTAAAGCAATGGCTTTTTACTGGTATGGAATTCCCACTAGGAAATTTATTTTAGGATATCAAGGTAAATAAAGACATAAAAATAAAAATACAGACAAGTTGTTGCGAACGTCCAAAGTCAAGCAGTCTTTCCAATAGGTGATCGGTTTTTTTAAAAAAATCAATTTGAGAATGTTGGAGCATGCTCGATCTTCAGAAGCAATTTTACTTCGATATGTGATGAAAAGGATGCATGTAGCAAAAACTGTTGAGAACTACTGCTACAGAGAATCCATTTCGGCTTTATAAAAATTTAAAAGTTACTCATGAAGCAATTAAATTTCTTACGCTTTGTCCCTTTTTATTTCATTATTTTTTTGGGATCATACTAGATTATTTATTTCCTTGATATTCCTTTTGATAAATTCATTATTTGAATCCACTGATGCCATGTAATGTATTTCGATTTTATCGCTTCTTATTAAAAGCGAAAGAAATTAGTAAAATTCTTAGGGCTTCTTAGAACTGTTCTGTTCTCAGCCTTATTTGCTTGTTTTCTTTTTGCTGCACTAAAGTTTGAAGTTTGAAATATAAGCATATTTGAGAAGCATTAAACTGCTTGAATTCGAAGCGTTTGCTATGAAAAAAAAATTATTATCGGCATAACCGGTTTCACTTTCTTCTTAATATTGATACTACATTTTTCTTACTTAAAGTTTTCCATATTCTTAAATTCTTGAAAATAGTTAAAATATTATTTTGCTTATATTAGACCTTAGGAAATTTTTTGCATCAATTATATGAACCTTTCTATTTTTTCTTTTAATTGATCAACTGCTTTTTTTTCTTTCCAGTTTTTCTTAAAAGTGCGTCAATCGCTTCAAAGAACGCAGATTTCCATCGACAAGCATTTTCGATAATATTTTTTCAGAGAAATATAATATATAATGTTCATTTATAAATAGCAATTAAAATTTATTTAATCGTTTCTTTGTCACTAACGAACAATTAAAATTTGTAAAAATTTTGGTTATAAATTTCAGCATTAGAGTTGGATTTGACTGTAAAAGTGGTCATTTCTCTTGCAAATCGGGCAAGGTGTGTGCAGTTTAACAAGCTGTATAACTTCGACGATAATTGACAACGACGACGTTTCATGATCACAATTTTCACGAGAAATGTGGCTAAGGATTTCATTTATTTTCTCTATTTTCTATTGCCTATTTATTTCTATAAATGCAGCACCTTTTCCAACAAAACAAATAAGTTAGTTCGATTTGTTTTGCCTTTTGTCGACAAAATTTTCACTGCAACGCATTAACACAACTAATCGAGCGATTATGGCAGTTCATGATAAATGATGAAACTGGTAACATTGCTATCGTCTTCTTCTAACTGCACTTGGCACTTCTATTTTGGCTAACTCCATCACTTGGGTGTCTACTGGAGTAAAACCTTTTTGCTCATGGCAGCTTTCCACCGTCGATGGATAAGAATCTGGCTTATAATTAAGCTTATTCGACGAAAAATGCCAGTCGATCATGTTGTCCACCTCATCAATTCCTTGATTAATCTCGTTTTAATTTTTTTCCCTTATGTTCTTTTATTGTTTCTGCTAACACACTTTGCTTTCCTTTTGTTTAGACCATTTCAATAACTTTGAATAAAATTTTATTTATTCAAAATTTTATTTATGATCTTATTAAATCAATAGGATCGATTTAATACCATTCATTTTTGATTATTTTTATTTTTAATAAATTTTATCGGATGAAAATAAGGTCAATTTTTTTGTTGCCCTAATCTTTATTAATAAGGTTATTGAATAAGTATTTAGGCAAATTTTAATTAGCGATGCATGAAAAATAATTAGGAAAAATTATTCAATAACTATTTTTAAAGATATAAATTTGCAAATATTGCAAAAATAGATGAAATAGGAAGTGCTAAAATTTGATTACAGTGTCATATATTAATAAATTATTCATTGGAATTTTTTCATAATTGCCGAAGTATAAAAAAAATTTTATAATTCATATAACATAGAATATCGAAACGATGAAGGGCAATGACCATCGCCTATTATAAGCAATTAAACTAATTGCATAATTTGGTTGAATTTTTCGCAATAAAGTATAAAATCTCTTTATCCTCATGAATCGAGAATCTTAGGCCATAGTTTTCATATCACATATCACATCAATGATAAGGTACATTGCGAAGTACCACATTTGTACAACTTATATGGACGAAAACTTAAAACTTCAGATCTATTCGTAGGTAGAATTTTGCCATCAATCTACCATATCTCTTCTTGAGCCAATGGACAGAAAGTGAAATCAAGAGAAGAAAAGAACATCTTTTGTGAGAATTATTTTCGGTTTTAGTGAAGCAATATGAGCTGTGTGGGTTCATTAGCACAGTCTTATTGATAATACTTGATAACATTCGATATGGCTTTGAATTTTCTAGGTTGTGCATAGATATTTTTTGTGGAATAAATGGGGTATAAAATTTATGCTTCAGCAGATTTGGTTTTTGAAAATAAAATCAATTTTTCCAATAACCAGCCGAAAACGTTTTCAAAAAATGACAACATTGCGCGAATAAATCCAATATTGGTAGAAATAGCAAAAATTGGCAATTAAAAAGTGATAAATAAGTATTTAATCCAGTTTATTTCATACGATCGCAGCTAATTCTTATATACGAGCAAATTTTTTTGAGAGAACCTTTTTTTAGAAAAAAAGATTCGGAACCGATAAAATACGTTTTTTTCGATTAAATTTTAATGGTTAACAAAATAATTAATTTGAATTAGATTTTAAAATGTGAATATTCTGCAAGTTTACTTATATTGCATTAATTCAGAAAAAAGTCCACTTTGGATTTTCAGTAACTTAATATAAATAGAAGAAAATAAATGCATGTTAAATTGGAAAAAAAAGGATTCTATTAGTTTCATACCAACATTACCATTAATAGGTTCAAGGTGGCACTTTATAGTGCCGATATATGTGCATATAGGTACTATTGAAATATTCCAAATATTCCAAATATATTAGGGCAAAACTTTGATATCTAATAGATTTTATTTTATAGGAGGCCATAATAACAATAACCATTAATTGGATCATTTAAAATTGCACTTATGAAATGAAATCAAAGAAAATTGAGCACTGGAGCGTAATAATAAGTCATTTTTAAAATGCTTAATTGTTAGATCTAAATAATTTAAATAATTTTTTAATTTCATAGAACTTATAAGAACTTTAGAATGATTGAAATTCATTGCATAAATTTGAATTGAAGCACTTGTGGTAAGCAGAAACTTCAACAAATAATATAAATTGCATGTGCCTCATTACGAGATGACTGAACGGAACCTTTTTATTGGGTGGTTTATGGGTGGTTTTTTCTATGATTCCATCATAAACTATTTCAGTTGCCATTACTATTTTTAGATGCGATAAGCTAGATTGTAAGATTCATGGAACTTACGCAAAAAACTGGTTCATAGATATTTACCTAATGAATTGTTTTAAATAGACTTTAAAGGACGAATTTCTTTCAATCAATAAGAAAATTGGACCAATCTGATTTATTTTCTCAAGTTTTTAAATGAATTAATTAAAAATAAAAAATTTAAATAAAAAATTCTCACAATATTTTAGTAATTAATATTCTCTGCGCAGTTGTGCATGATGTTTAACCGTTAAGCTTATGTATTGATTCTCATATATCTTTAAAATAACTTTTGTTTGCATGAATTATCCTGTTTTGAAAAAAACTTAAATAATTAATTATATCTTTTATGATCATTCTTCTGCTTCTAGTTCATTAATATAATTTAGCTCTTTTTTTATATTTTATTTTATTTTCATATTTTCACTAAAAATTTAATGATTATTTGCAGAACGAACTATTATAAAACGGTCGAATTCGGAAAAACCGTCTTTTTTTGAGGATATATATGGTAATTTATTTATCGAAGTTTCAGAATCAAAAAATTTGAAAACCAGCTTAAGAAAAAATTTTGCTCAACTTAGCCTGATTACTTTTTTAAACTAATCACATCCAATTATTTGAAAATCTACGAATAATTTCCTGAAAATTTTGTACAGTCGGTGATGTGAATCCCGTTGAAGTCGAATTTATCTAAACTGAAATAATGAAATCACTGGCTCTCCTGATCTTTTTCGATTTGTTATTTATTTATTTATTATTATATGTTCTCTACAGCTGAATTCGTTTAACCTATATTATACTCCGTACAACCTTTATTATAATAAATGCTCCGCTAAAACATATTCTGCTCCTGTGCACCATGATGATCATTGGAATTACGTTGTCGAATAATTTTATTTTTTCATTTTACTTTAATCAGATTTAACAGCTTCTTGCTGATGCTAGATTTAGCTTCATTTGCTTGCTCTTTCCTAATTATATTTGGCGAAAAAAGCAAATAAAAACGTTCCTTTCTGATTTTTACCATCATTTTCTCATTTGTACCCAAAGTATTGCTATCATTAAATATCAATATTTTTAGGGAGTAGTCAAAAAGAATCGTTTGAAATTTCTGATTCAAGCATAGAAGGTTCGCCTATCCTAAAGGTTCGTAATAAAACCACTGATACAAAAGCATCAGTAATACCTGCACATCTAACATTTCGTCACTATGGTAAGTTATCAGTTATATTATTTAATTTGGCGGCTGGTTTTATAGATACATGGCTACATTTTGCTTTCTAGTTTCTAAAATTCAAGAAGTGGCGGCCAATAAAGAAAAGGGTTAAAAATCAAACCATTTGCGTTAATTTAGTGCATGCGGCTATTGTCATACTTAATTGAAACTGCTATAGTACGGTTATTATTTAAGCACTTAGCACTCATGCACAAAATCAGTGTTTATTACTGACTGATCGAAAGCATGAAAAGACAGTCATGTAATATGTGAAAACTGCATAGAATAAATTTTAAAAAATTGCATGCTACAGAAGACGCAGCTGGCGCACACGAGTCGCATTCAATTGAAACCGATCATGACGCACTTAAGCCTGAAATTCCACCAAATTACTTCATTCCACGTAATTTTTTACCAAATATTTTATTGTCATTGTTCAAGTTTAGGCACTTCTTATTCTTTCTGTGATAGCTATTCACAAAAATATTTTCCAGCACAATGCTTTGCCTTAATTTTACTTTTTTTTAATCAGCTCCTTCACTTATAATATATTGTCGCAAATTGCAAAAAAATCTTTAAATTTGAGGACACTATTCGCATTTGCATTATTTCTTCTTGCTCTTTATTATGTTTTTGATACTTTCTTTAATCTATCCACCGTCTGGTCCGGTATTCCTATAATCGCAAATTATATGCTATTTTACGGAAACCAGTGAAGGCGTCTTTCTGAACCACACGTTCTATATTAAAGATCGACAGACTGGGGTTCCAAAAAAAGAATTGCCATTTTTTCATGAATGAATTATATATTTTGAAAAAAGCAAAGTAAATTATTTGCATATTTTAATGACTTTTGTCTAATTTAAGACATCACGATTTCTGAAAAATGAATGATGGCCATGAACCATCTAAATGATTTGAAAAATTTTTTTAACACCTTTCAGGTTGTTATACTACTTTTGAAGTCGTTCCTAATGCAGATATCGCAAATTTTCAAAGCACAAAAGAAGGTAAAACAGAAAGGTACTCAGTCCTCAGTTTTTGGTTGTATTTTTAATTTTAATTCACTTTTCGGCTCCCTATGAGCTCTTAAAAAATGATTTTCCTCTAATCATATTAATTTATAATTTGGTTCTTCTTGATGGAGATAAAGTAAGATTTTTCCATGAAAGATCAGCTGGGGAACAAGTGAATCCCAAGATCAAAAATAAATATAATTCAATTTTTTCAGTGCAGATTATTGTGCTGCTTTTTGTTATAATAGTGGCTGCAGTGCAGCGGTTTATGAGCCATCAAAAATATCTGGTGTGAAAGGCAAATGCAAGGTTCAGTTTGGTGGGCGTGATCAGTGTGGACCAGATTTACAAAGGCATTATCATATTGAACCCAATGAACCCGTCTATATACAATGTTTCAGATGCAGTTCAATATTTTAATGATTTTACTTTTATTGAAATTAGCCTGAGAATTTAAAAATCTTATTTTCAAATAAGAATGAAAAAATGAACTGGGATAAGAATGGTTTAGAGGGTTTTAGCTCTCAGCTGAGCGCTGATACTGGAACTCCTCCTCACACTCAGAAATAAACCTATCCTTAAAAAATTCTAACAATGCTGGCGACTATACTTCTGTCGCCAAGTCCTTGGCAAAATATATTTTATCCGATAAGTCAGTAGAACGTAACCTAATCAGAAATGATGAGCACTCTCAAAAAAAAAAAATTGGCTGCTTTTTTGTCTTTAAGGAGATATTCCAAGAAAATATTTTTCAAATATATTACTATAGAATTTTTATTTCAGCACCTAATAAGCCCACAACCGAACAGCCAGCTGTTGGGCAATCTCACACTACGGTTCGAAGTTCCGGCAAAGCATCTCCACCAGGATGTGATTTAAAAGCACTAATGAATTTGTTGCAAAACCAATCGAGTGCGATTCATGAAACATCAAGCATGCCTCCTACTGTCAGTACTATCAGAATTTCAACGGAAAACATGGCCAGCTTGACTGAATCTACTGTACCGACTGAAGCTCAGTCAAAAATCAGCGAGACTTCATCTGCAAGTGTTGCAAGCACAACTGAACCATCGGAGGGTGCAGAAACAACAGAACAAAGTCAGCCAACTAGTGAGCAGCCATTTATTTCAAGTTTAGGTATCGAAAGCACACCATCGGAGGGTGCAGAAACAACAGAACGAAGTCAGCCAACTAGTGAGCAGCCATTTATTTCAAGTTCAGGTATCGAAAGTACACCATCGGAGGGTACCGAAGCTATAGAACAAAGTCAGCCAACTAGTGAGCAGCCATTTATTTCAAGTTTAAATGCAATTCAAAATGAATCACCATCAGTTGCTGAATCTGTAGATGAGCCTATAAAGAAACTCAATGGCACGCAACTGCAACAAGCAGGTGAGAAATATTCAACAATTTTTTCTCTCCAGTGTTCTCATTTTATTTGTGATCTCGAAGGTATAATTACTACTTCAACACTTTTTTTGTAAAATTATGGAAAAAGTCTGCTTTCTTATAGATTGCATTGTGCAGTTTCAAGCAGTTCCTTTTGATTCATCTAACACTGAACATAATTTATCCGGCTTTATTTCTTCTACAAAAGTAAATTCACCAGAAATATGTGCTAAGAGATGCTATCAGGTAATCAATTAACTTATCAGTTTATGATATAATAGGATATTAAAAAATTTTTTCTGCGCGAATTCCCAAAAAATCAAAATTTGCGCTAAAATTGCTAAGAAATTTTAAATTTGACGCCGAGTATTACCAAATTTTACGTTTTTCTCAGTTTTCAGTTCAGAATATTTTATACGTAAACTTCAAGATTCTAATTTAGGAAGGGTGCACAGCTGCCAAATATGATCCAACTTCTGAAGATTGTATATTGTCTTATCAGGATGGCCAGATATGTTCACCTGGAACGAAAATTTATACTGTTAAAACCACACAACCCATTTGGATTCACTGTACTAGCTGTAGTTAGTACTGCTTTTAATTTTAAAACAATATCTCTCATTTATATATATATATATATAAAATAAATTATATATAAATTATAAATATATGTTTGTAGTATATTGATTGATTAAGGAATAAAGTTTGAAAAATTCCTTTAACTAATTTTTAATTGATAGACGAGGTTGGTAACGGGCATCCCTTTTATTCCATTTGATGAAACAATTGCATTCGAATTTCTCATTTTCAAGCTAAAATTATTTCAGGATATTTATTTTCTTATAGAATCATGATTAACAAACAAATTCCTATGTTAAGAAAATGTTCCATCCCTCAGAACAAATAAAAAATTTTTTTCTAGAAGACGAAGCGGTATTCAGGAGCGAATACTTTACCCAAAGTTATTCCAGAGAAGCTGCAAGTATGTCATTTTATTCCCATCGGTTTTTAAGTCAATATTAGCATTTAATTGGTTTATTAATTTTCCATTATTAATTATCCCATTATTAATTAATATCATTATTAATTACTATTGTCAAGTTTTTCATATCGAAACGAATATTTAAGCGAATTTAATCGATGTACTTTTCAAGGGTCGACGGAAAGTTTTCCTGAAATTACAACAAAAAGTTTGAAACCATTAGAGAAAATTAGTGAACGTACAGAGCAAACTGTTGGAATTACTGAAATAAGTTCAGCCATGATGTCAAGTTCAACACAATCAGAATCCACTAGCGAAGAAACTCCAGTTGATAAAATAAGCATAGAAACAACTTCAAGTTCAGAATTAAGTGCTGAAATCACTAAAAGTGCTGTAGAGATAAGTGAATCCATTTTAAGTTCACCAACATTTGAAACCAGTGAAAGTCCTACAGAAACTACAGAAACTCAAAGTAGTGAAATAAGTAAGATTATAACACCAACTTTATTGTCGTCTGAAGCCAGTGGAAATATAATAGTGACAAGTGAGACTACTCCTCAAACCTCGGAGTCACATGAAACTACTAGTCCAGAACAAAATGCTGCAAATTTGCCGAGTGGGATATCTGAATTTACATCAGCGCCAAGTGAAGAAATTAGTGGGAAAATAGAACAAATGACTCCAACTTTCGATAAGGATATAGAGTTATCCACAAAATCACTTGAAGAAATGAGTGAAATCCCAGAAAAAATCGCAGCTAGTATAGTTACTACCGCTGTTACTCCTGCTATAAGTTTGGAAACATCTGAAGAAGTCAGTGCAACCTCTGAACAAACTGGAAAGACTTCAGTAGGTGAAACGAGTGAAGGTAGTTCACAGACTATGCAGTCAAATAAAATTACTGGGAGTCCAAAAGAATCTGAAGCCAGCGAAAATGAAAAAACTACAGAAACTCAGATTAGCGAAATAAACGATACCATAATACCAACTTTATTAGCATCTGGAATTACTGAAAGTGTCATGGAGATAAGTAAATCCATGAGAATCACCAGCCTATCACCAACCAGTGAAGGTGAAAGTATTAAAACTGATTCTAGCAAAATAAATGAGATTACAAGTTTAAAGACACCTGCAGTCACTAAAATTAAGGTAGAAACTGTAGAGACCGCATCTACTCAAGTAAGTTCTACCAGTTCTCTGAGCTTGCAACAGTCTGAATCTACTGGAAGTCCAAAGGAAACTGATGAGGTGAGTGAGGGCATAACGCCAAGTTTAATGGCATCTGAAATCACTGGAAGCGCTGCAGAAACAATTAAAGCCATGCTAAGTTCACCACCAATTAAAAGCAGTGAAAATGCTACAGAAACTATAGAAACTCAAACTAGTGAAATAATTGTAACACCAGTTTTACTGACATATGAGGTCACTAGTGGTGAGGCAAATGAGACCCCACCAACGAGAACCACTGGAATTCCATCAGAACTTGAATCTCAAACAATCGATATAAGTGAAATTACGATGCCAAACCTAAAGCCACTTGAAACTATCACAAGTTCAGAACAAACAACCATTGAGACAAATGAGGCTATTCTTCCAGGCTCAGAATCACTCAAAACCACTACCTCAGAGCAAACTATCACTAGTTTGCCGAGTGAAGAAACTGGATTTGTATCAAGGATTAGTGAAAAAACAGAACAAACTATGGATAGGCCAGCTTTCAAGGAAGATATAAGGTCAACCACAAAAGCACTCGAAGAAATGAGCGAAACCTCACAAAAAGCAAGTGATGGAGGTCTTGAAGTTGCTACTCCCTCAAGTTTGGAAATATCTGCAGAAGCTGGCGCAAGTTCTGAACAAACGATATCAGTTAGTGAAACGACAAAAGAAAGCCTAGAGCAATCTTCAATTAGTGAAAAACTTGCACCAATATCGAATTTTGTATCTGAAGGAGTCACTGAAAATCTGGAAGAAACCACGAAAATTACGAGAAGTGAAGTAGCAAGTTCTCTAAAAAGCAGTGAAACTATTGAAACAAATGAAATCACAAGCTCGCATCCATCTATCGAAATTAGCACAGAATCTCCACTTAGTGAAATAAAAACCACACAACTCTCCAGTGAGCAAGAGTCTTCTGATGAACAAGCCATTAAAACGAAGATTGCTCAAAATGAATTAGTCGATGAAGAGCACGGTATGTATGCTTTTATTGTCTTAATAAAATGGACGGAAAATTAAATTAATACTTCGCATTATATACATGCGTTCTGATATATGCATCGGTGCTGGTTTTGATCGCTACACTGGTATTAAGAGTGTTTCGCTAATACCAGAAATAAAGATGGATCCCCACCATTACCATTGCCTATATTTTACTTTTCCGATGAGCGAAGTAAATTAAATTGAAATTGCAGAGGAAGAAGAAGGCACTTGAGCGCCTTGCCCCTTGCCTATTTTGTGAGGAATTATCAGGAAATTAATGAGTGATAAATTTTAGAAAAAAGTGTTACAACCGTATAGCAATATATTTATATCTATTCCTTCTTTCTATTTAAGAAATTCTTATAGAATGCCGAGTTTCGTTCCAAGCTCATCCAATAACTGATACTGAATCTACAGCAAGCTTCGAGATCGAGAAGGACGTTTCAGATCCAAATGCCTGCGCACTGGCTTGCTATAAAGTTTCATTTCTTCCTTTCTGAATTGCTTATCTACCAATTTTGTCATTTCTGAAACGCAAATTTTAGGCAGGTTGCACTGGAGCAAAATATGGTATCAAAGCAAAAAAATGTGCGTTAAGTTTTAGTGAGAAGCAGCAATGTGATGGACATGAAGATACCCAAGAAATAAATGATTCAAGTGAAGCGTGGTGGATACATTGTTTAAGCTGCAGTAAGTTACCGATTTTTTAACCATTTTTACTTGTTAATTAATCCAATTAATACAATCCGTTAATAGAAAAAAGATGAACTTGCTTTTTCTTAAGTTTCACATTTTTTACACCACTTTCATCATTCGGTTACATGGATACCAGCTGTTCTCAATAATGTTGAATTTTGAAGAAAGTAATAGAAACACAAGAAGGAATAAAAAGAAGGATGAAAAGAACAAAGAAAAAAAGAGGAAAAATGAAAGATTATAAATTATAGGAAAACGGCATGCAAAATTATTAAATTTATTTATTTATTTATATATTGAAAACCAGCCAAGCAGGGCGCAAACGCCATGTGCTTATATTAATAATAACAGTTAAAATAACAAATAATAAAAATTAATGACAAAAATAAAATTAAAGATGAAATTTAAAGGTGAAATAAAGAGGATATTGCAAAATAATAAAATATAGTACAATTCGAAATAACTATAATCGGATGGTAAAAATCGCGATTTCACACTTCCTGCATGATGTGAATTTTTTAAATAATATCATAAATGATATTATCTAATCTTTTTTTAAAGATAGCTAAGGATAACACATAAGCTATATCGTTCGGTAATTTATTCCAGTAATTAATGCTACGAATAAAGAAATCATGAGACCTTAGTTTTTAGTTTTATACATAGGTTTTAGAAATTTAAGCCCATTAGTTCTTGTTGGATTTAAATTTAACCTAAAATTATATTATTTTGAACAATCTAATTTGACATAACCACACAAAACCTTATAAGTATAAATTAAATCCTGTTTAATACGACGAACTGACAGAGAATCCAGGTTATATTGTAGAAGTTTTTTTTTATAATTAAAATTGCAATTAGAAGAGAGGCGCCGTATACAATTTTTGGATTCTTTCAATTATTTCGCTTGATTTACTTGAAATTATTAGTGAGGAAGATGCTGGCATCCTTTACTGTTAAGGCATTGATGAGGGAAGATATGAATGAATATGAAGAAAAGGAATCATTAGAAAAAAATTCGTGGGCTCAAACATAGAACATGACAAAAAAAAGCAGAAGAATGAACTATCTCCAATGTGGTCCATAAACCGAAAAGTATTCACATGTTTCACTCAGTTACAACAGAAAATAGAAATCATAATCGATTATATTTGCCAATTCCAGAAAAAACCGAATCCACAGATAATAATTTCGTATTTGACGTTGGAAAATTCACTACAGGTAAGGAATAAAGATATTTTGCCCAACAATCGGAAAAATTATAGAGATAAAAATTTATTTTCCATTTTTCATAAAAGATGTTTTCTCCCTGAATGTTTTCTCCTGAAATTCTTCAGTTTTTATAAAAAAAGGGAATTGAAAAAATTTATAAAATTTGAGTATTCCAAAATTCATATTCTTTGGTAAAATTTATAAGAATATTAATATAAAATAAAAAGATGTAAAAAAATATTAAATAGTTTTCTCTGTTTTAATAAATGAAATAACAATAAAAAATTTTGTCTCTATATCAGAATAAAGTGTCTTTTTTGAATGGCTCCGTTTTCAGTTACAATATTTGAACCATCAGAATCATCCATATCTAGTGGAGTTACAGCTGAAAAGAGTAGTACTACAGCGGGTTGGATGTCACCTAGATTTGAACATACTGAAACATCTGAAAGTGCTACAACTGAAAAAGCCAGCGAGCCTCTTACTGAATCAAGTATTGAATTACCCAGTGGAGGAAGTACTCGAGCAACACCACTCGAATCTACTGAATTGCTTGCCATGTCAACTAAAGAAACTATGTCAGCTGAAACTTATGGTTCATTTGTTGAATCGAGCATTGGAGAAAGTACTTCAATCAGAACAGTGTTGCCTAAATCAGTATCCTTTACATCAACTGAGTATAAAACAAGTATCAGTGAGCCAATGAAATTATTTAGCACAGAAAGTATCCAACCAAGCAGAGAAGCAGTTTCATTTTTGCCTGAAACTACTTCTGAAGTCACTGAAGTTTCTACCATTATTAGTGGTGCAACTGAAGCAAAAACTGCCAAATCTGCCGAATTCACATCTGAGCCAGTTAGTGAAAAAGGTTTTCCAACAAATAGCCATGAAGAAACATCAACCACCTTTGAAAAAACTGAATCAACTGGTATTATAACTAAGGCACTTGGGGAGTCCACAGAATCGCCTAAAGTGCTTCAGAAAGTCACGATACAACAGCATGAAGGTGCTTCTTCACATTCAGGATCTGAAAGAGAGTTAATTCCTGAAGTACTGTCTAGCCCAGCATTCAGTACAGAAACCAGCGCTCTACCAGAAGAACATTTTAGTTCGTCAACCGACGGTAAGCTCTTCATTTCTAAAAATCTACAGTATAATTTTAAATTACTTTTTGAATATTTGAAATAGAAAGCATTGAATCAACTGGTATTATAACTGAGGTATTCAAATTAAAGTTTATGATAATCATGATTCTAAGTAAACTTGAAATCCTAGAGAAATCCAACAATAAATTTTAATTTATTTAATCGCGATGGTAATTTCTGCTTGTTTTTTTTTCAATAAATTTATACGGAAAAAGACCAAAAAGACCAAAAGACAAAATTTTAAGATTAATTTTGAAAGGTTATATTTCAAAATTTGCATTAAGAAGAAAAAAGTATTGCAATAACAGAACCACCCATACGAGAGGTTTCTGATTTCGTGGATGTGCTTAGTCAAAATAAAAATCTAGGAGAAATACTTGGTCGAACGACAATTGCGCCTTCTGGTTAGTTAATTTGCCTTATGTTTGAAATTTTTAAATTTCTTTTTTAATTTTCTGAGAATGTACGTTTTATTTCAGTCTTTATATGTTTGTTCATGGTGAAAATCACCGATTTTAGCTATCATTAGCCGAATCCAATATTACGCTTGATCAATGGAAGCTTTATTAATTAGTCATTTTAATTAATCCTTTCTTTCTTTCTTTTTGCTGATTACTATAGCCTAACCTCTTATTTAATTAATTCCAATTTTCTTTTGTAGAAAGAACTTCATACTGTTCTTATTTTCTACGTAACTTGATTTTAACTATGTCTTATCGAGGCTATCTTAATTGCATTTTCAAATTTTTCCTCCATCTGCTTAAAGCCTTATTTACTTGATAATATTCACCAAGAATATTCATTCATTCTATGAAAAAAATAAAATCTATGAATATAGGGGAATATTCGCATCTTTTATACCCTTTTACACGCTTTGACGGGTCAAATACCATAAAAAATGAAGTCTAGGAACTTTTCTATGTAGTTAAATTCTAAATTTAACTCTCACGATTGCTTACCATTAGGCTGGCTGCACTGGCTACAAGGATAATCTTTTTCTATCTTCTAAATCCACATATCGCTGGTCCCCCTATACGTTCAAAGTCTTTCCTGTACCAGACCAGGTCTTGATTGGCTCTCCTTGTTTTTAAATCCATCCATCATAGAGTTTAATAAATAAAGAAATGTGTATCAATTCCTATGGTTGGTGATGAAGAATGTGACCTAACCAGTGAAGGCGACGCTCTATGGTGATATTGTTGACCCTCTATACTATTAATACAAGTGGTTTTAAACGAAAATAGGCATGTGAGATTTTGTGCGCTGATCTCATAAAAAGTCTTAGATGTGAGTGATCAAAAATAAACAACTACTTAATATCCTCTACTCTCATTCGCCATGTATCGCAATCATATAACAACATCGAGCGAACTGAAGTTATATAAATCCAGCCTTTCATTTTTATGGCGGTTTTGTGAAGGTTTTAAAAAAGTTTCGTCAACCGGAAAAATGCATTTCTAGCTAAGTAGATTTAGATAAAAATAGATTTTATAGATTTTAGATTCTGGTATATAAGATGAAAAGGCTTCCGTTTTTTTATATTGATCCTGAATGAGATTCTTGCTGCAGTTGTCGGTACCATTTGCATATCGTATTCTGGGCTGATACTCCTCTTGAATGCCGACAAGTGGTTTCCATTACCCAGTCTGTCGCATAGCTGAATATTGCAGAGGAAAGGGTGGACACAAATTTTTATTTCGAAAGGGCCAGTCAGTTCCCCATATATATAGACCTGTGTCGACATACGCTGATAAAATGCCTTCATGAATCGAATGAATGAACTAGAATGCTGTTATATCAGCCTCTAGAGCATCAGTTTGAATCGAAAGCAATCAAAAACTCAATAAAATAAGCGACAATGAGTGAGAGATATTTGAAATGATGTTTCAACACCCTTCTTTAACGTGATTATGTGGTTCAGCACAATCGCAGTTCCAGTCTGAATCCAGCTTGATTAAAGCCAATCCTGCTGTTTTGTACTGCAATAGGAGGAAAGCGGAAATTTTTCCGGAAATATCTAGTAGGCTGATTCCTCGATTCACAATATGTTCTGTCACCTTAGGAATTATGAGCAGAATTGCTTTGTTGTCCAGTCATCTGGTATTATTTCTTTCCTTCATACCAGAGAATTTGTTGAAGGTGTAATATGAGGGACGATGTATAATATTTGAAGAGTTCGGCTCTAATACCATCATCTCAAAGAGTTTTATTAGCCTTAAGTTTCTGGAGAATATTCTCTGTTTTGCTGGCCGTTCGTTGAAACATATATCTCAACGAGCGATTCAATTATATCTCGGATAATTTCAGATAACATATCGTGGTTAAGCTTGGGTTCAAAGATTTTCTTCTATCTTATGAGGTGATCCTTAATAGGCACACAATTACTATCCTATACCATTTCCCTAGCCATTTACTTATAGTATCTTTGTGACGAAGGCGGAATAGTTTTGTATTATCGCCTAATCGAGTCAAGGCCATATCGCTATATATGTCCCGTCGTGCTGCAGTCGTATCTGCTAGCCAAGACATTTTGACATTCGTATTTTGGCAGCTTTTTAAAACAATTGGACAATTGTACTAAACTAGCGCATTTCCTACTAGCGTATCGTAATAGTGGAAATGGCTGGCAGAGACATTCATTTAGTTGGGACCAGTATTCATCTGCGGTTCCTAAGATCTCGTTGATGTTATATTATGTTATATTTCCTTGATATTCAAGTGGTTAAATAAAAAAAATTTCATTTGCATAGTTTTTTATTCTTGAGTCTGGGTTATTTTTATAATAAATCATTTATTTAACGTTTATTTTCTAACGATTGCAATTATTGCAAACACATTATCCTATTATCACAAAATACCGCTGATCGCTTAAATAATGAATTGCTTTTTGTCGTAGGATGTGCAAAGGGCAATTTGACATTTTTCGGCCGAGAGATAGCAAACTTACATGTACATTTCCATGCTGATATGCAAGTAGAATCAGTTAATGAATGTTTGCAAATATGTCACACATTGCAATGCTCAATGGCAGCATTTACGCGTGATCCAACTCCAACATGTTTGATGCAGCTAAGTCCAATGAGAAGTCGTGCTTGCGACAGCCTCGATCCATCATTGCGAGTTCCTACTTGGAATTTGGCTGATGATAAAAATGTACTTCTTATTCAGTGCATTCAATGTGGTTCGTTCAACGTTGCTTCAAAACTTTTTCTATGCTTTATATTAATAAATATAATGACTGCCTTCCTTCATAACGTTTTTCTTAAAAAGCTATTTAAATATGCTATCGCGCTAAATGACCTATGTCTTTCAGCCTTAAGAAACCTTAGGACTAATTTCAAGACGGGACTTGTCATACCGACAACTGTCTTTCTTTAAAGAATTACCAACTTTCAAATTATTTCTAAACAGGAGAGTCGCTTTCATTAGCACTCACTCCTCTAATAGTCCAAGGAAATCTTTAGAAGTTAAAATTCAGCGTTTTCGCCTATAGTAATATTGCTTAAGGCAATGAAGCTTCCTCAGATGATATTTTTCCTGTTGTGCCACGAAGTATCGATATTACTCATCTTCTTAGCGCTCAACGAAAACATGCAATCAATTCAGCTACCATGGCAAAAGGTTAACAAATTATTTTAACGAATTGCCTTTCTAAATTGCATCAAAACTATGCGTTATGAATTATTATCAGATTAAGCTAAGCTAATCTAAACTAAGCAGCATTAATGGATCCTATCATATTGTATTGAATGCCCACATTGAATCTTATTTCTATCGAAATGCAGATGGAGAGGACTCTCGTTGTTTTGGACGAATCGAATTTCAAACGATGCCAGTAGGGAGCTTGCCACGTCTTAACATTACCAACGATATTCCCGTGAAATCAGCAGCTGAATGCGCTGATAAATGCTACAACACGGTAAAATCATTGATTAAAAAAATAATCAATGAAATTTAGATTTTTCAGTGAAATTTGCGGCCATTTAATCAATTTTCATAAGGAAATTGATTAATAGCAAGTAAAAAATTTAAATAAATTACATAATAACAAAAACGATAACAAATTTCTCGAGTGTTTAGAAGGGCTGCTTTGTTGCTGGATATATACCGAATCCACTTGGATCATCGACGGAAGACGTGTGTTTGTTGACATCAGACATAAACGTTTGTCCATCTAGTAATTTCGTTCCACAGTATATTTCAAAAAGAGCTTTCATCATTACTTGTTTGAAGTGTTCTGGTACGTCGAACCTCTTTCGTTTTTTGTTGTTTTTACACGACTGAATCGATCGGTCTAACTCGTTTTACTCGTTCGAAAATTAGATTCAGCGACTCGATTTTACAAAACATATTTCTTTATTTTAGCATGTAAATATACGATTAGTGCTGCACCAAGTGATCATTTCGAGACTACAAATGACGATTCAGCGACAGCATTTTCGATTGATCAGTGCGCTTTAGAATGTTTCAGACGAAAATGTAGCGCAGCACATTTTGACAATGCAACTAAAATTGTAAGTTTCTATCTTAGCTGCAATTTCAGTCGCTTAATGCGTATATATAACCGTATATTAGAGTACAACGGCCGAATATATAATGCTAAACTATCGTTTCTAAGTAGTTCGACCCTTTCTTCCCGCAGGATTGAACTTATTTTTTAAGTCCAAGTAATGTTGGAGATCCACCTGTGATTCTATCTTTAAAATACTCTCTGGCAAAATTATCATACTAAAAACAAGAAGCGCGAACCCAGGCAGAAATGATGAGTGCCAAGACATTTTAGTACAATTTTCGATCATTATTATTTTTATATTCTTGAATTACCAGTACGTTACAAATATATATTATTTTCAGTGCTCAATGTCTTTAGCTAAAAAAAATGAAGGTTGTCCGCGAGAAATGCCAGTCAACGTGACCAATTCAGTTCTTTTAGAATGTGTCACATGTTCCTACTGATAAGCTCTTTAGAGTTAATTCAAAGATTACATTCTATTCTTAATAAATTAAAGATGGAATGGATCTTAGAATTTATCATTAGCCATTTTGGATAAAACATATCTAATATATTTATTGTATTTCTCTATTTTACTTCAGTGTATTTATGTCTTTTTTATATACTTCGTGGAATATTTCAAAATATTTGGAAATGATAAGGGCTCTTTAAATTTTTCTGGCCGACTAATATCCCCAACAGGATTAAATTTGTCCATGATCAGTCGACCTTTGCTTAAGTTGCTTGCTTAAGTTTTATGAATTCTAGTAAGTTTAAGTGAATTCTAATAAGTTTTATGAATTCCTATGAATTTCAAATCCTCTTGCTTTGCAAATCGTTAGTATTCTGTACATCTATTTACATTTTTTAAACCATTTCACTCAAAATTTGCTATTACCAATTAATTAAAATAGATGCCTTATTAATGTATGGATTACTTATTAACATCACACTTCAATTAGTTATAAAAACTATAAAAGAAAAGTAATTTGAGATTCCTGTTATTTGTATGATTTACCTGGGAATTCACTTCTGCCTAATTTTTCAAGTCATTTCCCCAAGTCATTTATCTTTTTAATGGTAAATCAGATCTTCCAGAAAGAAATATTTCTTTGGATTCCTGGCATTTTCCTTGCCTTTATTTTTTGTTGTAATTTTTTATTTTTTCTATCAGCAATGTCGCTATATTTCCTGCCATATATTGCATGAAATCTCAGAGATTTTTTTTTGGACTTAAAATTTTTTATTTTCATTTATTTGCAATTTTTTGGTTTAACTTAGTGCTTTTTGTATTTCTAATATATTCATTGATAAATAATATGCGAGTATTTTAAATTCGATATTGCATAAATAAATTTTGATTGATGAAGCAATAGAAGCAGAGGATATTTTCTAACAATTAGAATCGCTTTATGGTTAAGTGACTGTGAATTATTTGTTATTTTCTTAATCATTTTCCAATTTTTAGGCTTTTCTTTCTCCTTCTTTTTGAAATTTGTTCTAATAGTGATTTCTGTTCCGCCTTGCTGCTTTCGTTGCAAATCTTCGAAGCACCCGGTAGTCAGAATCACCTGACATTCGTGCTTTGGCTTTTTCAGACAATTGGATAGTTGCCTCCGATACCCAACTAGTGCTTTTCCTACTAGTATGCCCTAGCGTTGAAGTGGCTGATTTTCGGATACATTCCTTTAGTTTGGTATTCATTTATGATGCAGAAAGTAAGTATTGGTAAAAAAAAAAGTTTATGCTCTTCGGCATAACGACGAAGACGTTCTCCATTGGCACACCGGTCTCCGATGCCATATTTGCTAATTGTTAAGGTCATCGCAGCTGTATTATGACCTACGCGAGCTCCCCCAGTCTCCCCCGACCATGTCATGTTTTGGTAGAGACTTTGTTAGCAGGCTTTGAAGTTCCGCATAGAACTACCGATAGGGTTGGAGCATAGACACTGATGACCGAGATATTGCAGAACTTACCCTTAAGACGGGCATAGGCCATACGTTAGTTACCGGTTTCCACTCAATCAAAGCGGAATGGGCTTTGTCAGACATGGCAATCGCTACGCCATTTCTTCCCGAGTTATTCGAAGCACCACAGTGATATAGCCAGTATCTCTGCTCTGAACCAGGATTAATAACTTCTCGAAACCCAAAATGAGGAAGATGGACCTCTGACAAGCAAGCGATATCCACACGATACTTAGACAGGGTGTGGACAGTGATCGCTTGGCTTACAACGTCCATAAGCGTTCTGACGTTCCACGTTGATGCGGCTAATACCTCGCAGCGCATATAGAAGGCTGTTCCCCTTGATAGGTTTCGAGCAATTACCCTGGCTTGAGAACACATTTTATTTACCAGCCTTGGGATCGCTTTAAGCCCGGATTGTAAACTTATCGCATATACTACCGGACTCGAAGTATCATGCGCGTCGGGAGACGCGGACGCTGCAACAAGTATATCGACCTTTTCACCACAGAATCACTTGGGGATAGAGTTACAGGTGGGTCCCCAGCAGCCACCCGGATTTTTGATATATTAGCAGGTTTACTCCCGCCAAAGACAAAAAAAATTAAATTTGATAAATTAAATCAAATTTTTTATATATATTTTATTTCAATTCTTTATTTTTTAAATTTTAGAAAAAAAACTTAGCTCGGTTTGAAAAAAACTTTCAGAGGTTTCGAAAAAAAAATTCACAACAAAAGCAATTAGAAATAATCGACTGACATGAAGCAGAGCAGCAGATGACCTTATTATGACCTATCTCTATATATCCCTCATTGGTTGAAGATCGATTATTTAAATGGAAATTTTGGCGAGAATTTTTTTATTGTTCGTCACGACATGACGTTGCTATGATCTGAAAGTAGTTCACTAAGCAACGATTTTATAAAAGAAGAAATGAAATTGAGCTGAAAGGACGAATAATCTGTTTTCCAGCTTTTTCATTTCAAGCAAAAGGAATAGATGCTTAGTTCTCCTGCTCTCTTTTCCTTTTAGGAATATCAAGAAATACGAAAAAAATTCTACGAACAATTTCATGTTCTGTGGCAATTTCATTCAAATAAATATAATGGTAGATGATGATGAATGTCTTCGCCCAGACTACTTTATTAAATCGCTCGATTACACATGAATTCACGAATTCAGACAAATTCAACTACAGCTAAAATCATGAAGCTTGCTTGTCCATCTAACCAATATCGCTTTTTTATACAGATTGCAGTTCAAATGGATAATTCGTCAAATTCGTTGCTTGCATGTTATAATATCGATTTCAATGTTAAGAATATTTTTTCGATAGATAATGATACAGCTGTGTTCGAAAATCTGCTCAAAACTGAGCAGTGGATATCGGCCAAGTTAAGTTAATTCAAAAATTCCTTAAAATTTATAATTAAAAGATTTTTGATTATCAATTATTTTAAAACATCATAAAAACCAAAATTAATGTTAACAAAACTGATGCCTCGTTCCTAATTGATTGATTTTTATTAAATTATCATTTAAATAAGAAGAATGATCAATTAAATTTCTTTAAAAGATCTATTTGAATAAAAATTGGTAAAAATTTAGATTCAATTACGAAACGGTGAATGTTTCTTGGCCCTTACCATTCATAAAATTTTTGCAGAAATTGTTCCTATCCGCAGCAAATTATAATTCAACTTGCTAGAAAATGTTATGTGGAAAGAATCAAAATTTTGTGCCACCATTCCTATAAACGTTAGCTTTTCAATTTACAACTTAGAGGAATGGAAAATTGTATATTAGTCCATAAACCATCGGTCCAAGTCCCGCCATCACGTTTTTACTCGTTTTGGATTTTATGCCCCAAATATTGCGTATTGCGTTTCCCACTGTATTTTTAGTATTTAAGATGAAATTCCTAAGTTTCCGAAATGAACATTATTTATTTCTTTATTTAATAAGGACAACTCATTCCAATCGAAAACTCTACAGAAGTAATTTCTAAAAATTTGCTACTTTAAAATGGTTTAATTTTTAGACGCATTTTTTAAATATATTCTATTTAGCACGTACCGTCAACATCATGGCGTACGAAAATGAATCGAAAGGCAAATGCGACAACGACCCGAACTTCCAGCATTTGGGGTAGAATTTTCCTTTATTTATTTCGATCAAATTCACTAAGACCTGTCAGTTGATATTTTTCACAGTTTTATTCAAAATTATAAATCGATAACGATGCTTTAGTTTGGTTCGATTTACGGATGCCACTGGAAAAAATGAATTAAAAACAGTTTTGCTTGATATTAATGCAATCCTTATCAAACTTGTTATCAGTGACTGCTATACAGATGCAGTTCACAACAAATATAACCAAGTATGTTCCCAATGTTGAGTAGAAATTTCATTTAGGATTTTAATTTAGAATTTCTTTGAACTACATATTTCTTTGAAAAATTTTTATATTCCACCTCATATTTAAACGTATCGCTTTTTTTTTTTCAGGTAGGAATAATATCAATCACAGTTATTGGCAAATATTCACATAATGAAGATAGCATATCAAACGAAAACAATCAGTTGCCGATATCTGAAAACCTTAAAAAATCGTTGTAATAAACAATTGAGATCTCCCTCAAAAACTTAGATATATTATATAAATATAAAAACAATATTTTCATAGATAATTTTTTTCTCTTTTAACACTCACCATTTCTGTTTTAGCTAAGTCTATTGGCTATTAGAATGATACTTTCGCTAGAAAGGTAGTTGAGGACAGAAGTATAGATGGTTGATGATGAAGACTTTAGTACATAAATTAGCAAATTCAGAAAGTTGAGAAGTAAATCGTTTAAATAAAAATTGTTTCAACGATCTGAATTTCTCGGCGCGATTATTTTGAAGATAGAATGAGACGGTCGAATAACAAGCTGTGTCGGCGAGGATTAAGCCGTCATAGATTTGATTCCTACTTTTCAAAGTAACGTTAAGAGTGCAGTCTAAGTGGTACCTGGGATGCACTTATAGATCTTTCCCAAATGTTTTTCCGGCGAAGAAATCTAATAGTCAGCCAACCAAAACCAGAAATATGCGCTATTAGAAGAAGAAAGATTATTTTTGAGTATTTTTCGTTTACGTGGACAGCATTCATTCCGTAGTAAGGAAATGGTGCTTCGGAATAAAGCAAGGAAGCGAAATAATGGTGAATAATAAAGATATGATACGGTTTTATGAAAGAATTCGGAGATCCATTACTAAAGTATTGGAAAGCAAATAGTCGTAGTGCTATGCTAACTGTGGATAAAACTAAGGGATAAGAGCGAGAAGGAAAGGAAAAATTGGAGAAAGGAAAGAGAGCAAAGCTGAAAACAATCGAACGATTTCCACGTAATCGAACTATAATTTTTTTTTAGGTCACCGTCTACTTCAGTTACGAATTCCGATAAAAACGAAAATTTAGCCGAAAATCTCAAAGAAGAATTGGAGAAAAATATTCAAACAACATTTTTAGTTCGATTATTGTTATTTATATCTGTTCTATTAATTTTGGTCCAGTACCTCTAAAAAGACGACAATACTGTTATTGGGAAGCACAGTTTATTAACGATCCCCTATAAACGAGCCCCTAGCCCAAAAAAATGTGTTAGATGTCAGTCTCAAGTCACCCAATTTCGGTCAATTTTCATTATGAAGGAACTAATTAATGCAACTGCAGAAATAAATGCACCTGCAATTAAGAAGGAAAAATTCCAGGTTGAGCAATCTGAATCAATTGCTAATCTGAAAAAAGCAATTCAAAATCTCGAACTCATGCAGCAACAATTAAACACAGTTAGAACTTTGTTTTCCTTATATTTCCACGATTTTAAAGAGACATTAGCACCAAAGATGTTAAGATTTTAAAATATTTTTGGCTGAACCCGATAAACGACAAGAAATTCGTGATCAAATTAACGATTTGTACCGTGAAATATCAATTCGAATCGATCTTGATAAAAAGGTTTTTTATTTGGTACCGATTTCGAAACAAATAGAATTTCATTTCAACCTTGCATATTTGAAGAGACCACACCACGTTTTTTCTAAATTTCCTTTATTTGTAAGGATAAATTGGGGGCATTTCGGCATTTCAGACATCACCTTCTTAGTGCCCAGCAATAATCAAAGAATAGCAGATCAGGTGAATTCAGTACCTATTTCAAATCCACACTTCATTAAATTTCGGAGCGCAATTTCCCACTTGACTTCATAAATGGCTTCATAAATTTTTTACTAACATGCTGTTTATGGGAAAAAATTATAACATGCAATTTTTTTTCAACTAAATTTAGATAGGATAGTGGATATTCATCGTTTTATTTATCATTTTTATTTTTGTAGCTCATTTCATTTGAAAATATAGCAAAATCACGAAAATTTTATTACTTCGTCTTCAAATCCTTTTTGACTTGATTTAGGAGAATTTACCAAACATCATCAATTCACGAAATGGCGAAGATTTTTCGAAATCATATGTTCCTCGCTTATTCACACCAATAAAGCTTAATTCGCCGGACCAGCCGCCGCTCATCGAAAATTTCGGAACGAGAGTAGAACTGACTGCAAATGTTCCTCAGATAAATATCAGCTTATAGCATTTTAAAATTATCCTCTAGAATCGTATAGGATATAGGCTGAAAAAATGAGATATTTGCTAGACATCGTTCATTGTTTATCGCTGTACTATTGTACATTTATTCAGCAGAAACGACAATCAAATGAATATCACCTATCAGATAACATTGGCAATCAAATTCAGTTGGGCAGTCATATTACAAGCAAAGCGGTCAATAAATTTTTAGAAAAAGAAAACACAATTGTTCCAGCAGCTCTTCAGAGGTAATTAAGGCAAAAACAGCAACACCGTGAAGTTTGGCTTTTCATTTTGCATTACTTTAATTGATTTTTACGAATGCAGTGAAATTTCGCAAAATTTTTTCAAGCTATGTTCATTAAACCCTTCTGTCTTTTTCACTGCCAGAATCTTATATTGCGACTATAGATGTAACAATTCAATAGTAAACCGGCGATCAGGCATTTTTGGCGTGAAGGAAGTGAATGCAAGAGAAGAATTACTGAATGTTATGCATCCATCTGACCGATCTTATGCATCAAAAGCTATGGACATTTACGGTTTTGACACGGTAGTTCTATGGAAATTCTCTTCCTCTTATAAATAACACAATTATATTTTCATATTTTGGTGATATGGCTCTGTTTACGGAAATGTTCGTTCAATTTTTGAAAATTTTAGATTATGAACTCATATTCGAAAAATTGGAAAAATCGCCAGAAATCGCTAAATGCTATAATTGAAAAGCTAGAAACAGTAAATGACATGAAGAAATCTTCGATTTATCTCGAATATTCCATGCCTATTATTTGTAATGGCCTTAGAGACCATCTTCTAGCTGTATGCAAGTATTATTATTCGCCGAGTTTCGCATCAGTTTTCAATCATAAAACAAAAACTCGAGATTTCCGAGTCCTTTGAGCAAAAATGATGATTTATTTTTGCTTATTTGTTTTCCATTACCATATGCCATACTGCCAAATTTGAAAATTATAATCGGATATAACAAATAAAATTCCAGAAAATTTTAAATATTTGAAGAAATTTTCGAATTACGGATAAAAAAACAAGAAACTACGGGGTTTAATTTTCATTATTTTTCAATCATTATAGATTTACGGATCAGCTCTAAATACTTTGATTTTCATTATAAATGAATTCATTCCTCGATGGAAACTACATAAATATTATGCGAATTATATTGCAGCGAAAACTTCGGATATACTAATTAGTCGAGCCAGTAGTACAATAAATGTAAGCATATAAGCATTTTTTATTGTATCACATCTCTGCAGAATTTCATTATCAATTTGGCATAACGGGAATTCTCATTGAGAATTCTTAAAAATATATGGATAACATATATTCAGGATCGGAGATCTTCTCAAACTACGATGAATGCTATTATGAAAATTTTGGGCAGCAATACAACAGTAATTTCTTATAAGATTTATCACTATTAGCTTATGAGGGTAGAATAGCTCGGTGGGTTGCATTTCATTTCGGAGTGCTGAATTTGGGGTTCCATTCTCAGGCTGCCTTTTAGAAATCCGGCTCACTTCTAGTTCCGCTTCCAAGTGATTCCTTGCAAGTTTATTCGACCCAAATAAGTCAGTGAAGCAAACTAAATGAGAAACAATGAACGATCTTCAAAAGAACAAAAATTGCCATACAAAAATTTAAAATTTCTATTTTTCTTAACAATATATTTAAAAGAGATATGACATGATGAATCTTGAGCGAGTAATCATCAGCTATGAAAGTGTCGCGCATGGTGGCAGCGAAATGAAAAGTAAGGGCGATAAATATATTACTATACAAAACCCTTTGCGGAAGTGTCTTTGAAAGGGAAATATCCGGCTGGAGCTGTAGTACGCCTAAATTTCTATTTCCGAATAATTCGCTGTGGAAAGCCGAATTCGAATGGCTGGTGAAACAAGCTGCGCGAGAAATGGGCCATTTTTTATTTTCTCTGCACTATTTTCTGGACACTTTTCATTACAGAAAACTAATTAATAATTTTTTATTCCTTCTATCGGAAAGAAGTATAAAACTTATTTATCTATATGAAATAAATATGAGAGAGTCCATTCTTCTTTGGGCTATTAATTAATCTCTATCGATACATTTCACCACCTTGTTCATGAATGCTGAATTGAGATTGCGACATGCTACTTGTCACGCTTTTTGGCACCATTCATTTCTTCAAAGTTTTCTCGAACTGACACTGGAAAAGCCGATATTGTGTGGAATGCAGTTAATTTCTTTAATGCTCCAAATGTGAAAATGTAAGTGGTTTACAGCTTTAAAAATGTAAAGACGATTGAAATTTGTTCAAGTCATTTTAAGGTTTGAGAATCGGACTAAAATGAAAACTTATAATTTTATAAATTTTATAAAGTAGACATATAAAAAATGGCTTGTAATGGGGAGTTTCAGACATCTCGTTTTTCATGCGCTTTTTTTAAAAAGCACTTGCCAATGTTGATTAAACTTGTAAGACCAGATGCCAGAGAATATTTTGGTGAATAAAAGTATGAGTGGAATTTCTATCGTCACCGGGATTTTTGGACAGATTTATTTCTGCCGGATGAAGAGCCTTAACATCGGCACTCTGACCTGAACAACTCACTAAGCCATTATTTCTTTTGCTGTCCTTCAACAACCCCTCTCGTACTGCGTTGGTCCCTTTTGAACCACTCTCCATTCTCGGTGGTATCTTGACATTTAGCCATCGATGAACTAGTTGTTGACTCATCTAATTATTCATTCTTTTTTAGAGGATTAACTGAAAAAAATATTTGTAAATTTGCAACCAGCTGCCTAAAGCACCGTGATGCCAAGGTAATTCATCATTTTGATAAGTGTAAAAATTAGTTTTACAAGTAATGACAAAATCATTTCGATTTTCCATTGATGGATAAAAATGGATTTGGAGTTTTTAGTGAAGATATTGCCGATGAGCGGTGAATTAAAGCATTCAAGTAGACACGGTTCTCTCAAGATTCTCGCTTGACATTATCAAGATATGTACTAGATTGAAATCAGCGAAAATTTTCTACCTTCAGCTTAACTTTTAACTTTAGTTAATGTTAAAAGAGCGGCATTCGATTGTAGGAGTTTCTCGCTTCGATGATTCGAGAGGATTTCAATTAAATTTTAGATACGAGAGCGCGGAAAAAATCTTCTAATCCATATCTATTCACTGGCAGAAAATAAGGAATACATTCGTTCACAACTTCCATTACTAGCAAAGGCCAACTACGATCGAAATCCTCTGTTAAGAAATATCATGAAAGAGTTCGCAAGAATCGACAGCAACAGCCTATCAGCGAAGACAAGAGGAAGGTATATTAGAAAATGGATATTTTTTTTGCAAATACAAAAAAAATTTCATTTATAGTAACAGAAAAGGATGTTTGAAGTTACCAATATATAATTCGATTATACACAACAGTTCAGATCACAATCATGTGCGGCGGTTCCAGCCGTCAACAAGACTACTGGTTTATCAAAAATAGATAACAATAAAAGGCCGAGGACAGTAACTATGGTTGAAGACGAAAATATGATAACGAAAATAAACAATAAAGAAACCATCGACAAGTAATCTAACAAATAATTTTTAAAATATGATCAAAAGCACGACTGACGCCCCATCTACACTTCTGCACTCCCCACTTGACTCCCCAGCTTAGCCATGCAAAAGAACTGGACTCGGACTATTTCCAAAAGGCGAGAAGGATGGAATGAAACTACTTAATGAGAACTACCGAAGCACGCATTCACGCATAAGCTCTTTTAATAGCCCAGTTGAACAATTTTTGGGAATTCTTGAATATAAGTAGCAAACAACTTAGAGCGAAAACCCAGAGAGACTTGCAAATTGCAGGATGTGCATGTACTGCGGTGAGATTAGCAATGAATTCACTCCCGATGCACTCAAAATGCATTTTACGAGTAAATGTTATATGCTGTGCAAGTGCGAACTATGCGATGCTGTGAGCCATAAATTCATTCACCGAATTTACTTTTCGATTTTCAAAATCATCGCGTAATATAAAAAAGAAATTCCGACACTAGTTTCCACCTTTTTAAGAAACCAATAAATTTAAATTTTACACTTAATTTGTTTTATGAATTTTATTAATAGATAAAACAACAAATACATATCGAAATGAAAGACTTAAATTATGCAGATTTTGGAAATAAATACATTAAAAGAACATCGACAACAACACTGCAAATTAAAGGACCAATTTAAGCAATGTTCACGTTGCGAGGAACCGATTCATCAAAAAGAATATTCTCGCCATCTTAGTCTGAAACAATGTCGAGGTGGGTACATCGTTCACTTTTACCATCATAACGGTATTTATTAATAAAAACCATTAATAATACAAATAAAATATGATGAGGCAATAAATATATATGAAGTTCAAATCTATTATTCTAAATCAGATTAAACGAAGAAATAGAAGAAAAATATAACTAGAAAAATAATAAAATAAATTTAAAGTTGCTAAACCTGAAGAGGTCGCTGGACGTTGTTTGCTCTGTCATATGGATGTTATTCCAAACAATGATATAGGATGGAAAATACATCTCAAAGATAAATGCTCAAAAAATACGCGTAGAAAATCAACAAAATCGCAAAGATATAAATTCGCTGATAATATTCCAACTGTAATTACTAGATGAAATTCAAATAATAACAAAGAAGAAATTTATATTTATATTTTTATTGCCACTGAAACCCGAAATCTTCGAATTTACAAGATTGTTGTTTGTCATAATTGTAATAAACATTCACAGACTATAAATATAGCCCGCCATAACGACAGGCAGTGGCTACAATAAAAAGAAAAAGGAATATGAGTTTCGAAAAACCACAAAGAAAGACGAGTTTTTAGAAGAGAGTGTGATTTATTGTTCGCCTATGATTTATAATCTAAGCGAATACTAAGCGAAATTAATTAAATAATTAATTAATTACATAAAAACGCGAGAGATGTTAATAGGAGACATAAATGAAAATTGAAGGACCTTGAAGAACTGGAAGCGGTGGCGATATTCAAGATATATTTTTAAAGGTTTAGAAAACAGATAAATGAATATGGTCCATGGTGTCTGAGCAAGATAGTAAAATATAATGAGCCGTGCATTTTAAGGTAGTATATAATTTTTTGGAATATAAATGCAACGAATAATCCTATCCTCCACATTACCCTTTCTAATTATATAATTTGTAACTCTGGCCATGGTAAAACTGCACCGCGAGGTTTTATAGAGCCTTAAAAGAGAAAGAGAAAATGGATGTGGTATGAAGTGATTAAAATCGAGTTTCGGAAAGATAATATGGTAAAGAAACTACCATACCATCACAAAATACAATGAGAAATTGGGAGTATGAGGAAGTAATGAACGAACTTTGATGAAAATTTTCACAAAATATGGCAAATTGACGAATACCAAATAAAACGTCTGAGATTTCATAGGCAGAATATGACAGACGAAACAAAATGGCATAATGAGGTAGTATGAGACAATAAGAAGTAATTTGCAGTATCAGAGAAAATAACACAGGGGCTTGAAGGAATTTAAAAAAATTTTAATAGTTGAAACCAAAGAATAAGGAGCTATTTGAGAATCACAATGTATTTAGAAGATTTTGGAAATTTGAAATTCCAGGGAATTGCCAATTAAGCATAATGGCGCACAACAGATTGAGGAATATATTTCAATATTATTAATGAGATATGAGATATAAAGAGGGTAAGGTTTGATACAGCATTATAGGAACAGTCTTATTTTGAGGGACATATGGAGAAAAAGTAGGGAAGACTCAACTTCTAAACTTTTAAAAAATCAAGGCTCCTCACGAAAGAAAGGAAAAGTTAGAAAGAATCGAAGAACATAATATTTAAGAAAAAAATTGAAACTTCTGACAAATGATGGCATGTGGATGAGTTTTTCTTGGATATAAAGTAATGAATTTTTCTTTTAAGAGTTCTCACTATTACTGGTTAAACTCGCTCCACTGGCTTGTCGCATTGGGCAATATGCCAAGGAGTCCCTTGGCGATGGTGAGGAGATTAAATAGAAATATGAGGGAAATACAGATGTGACAGAATCACCAGGATTTTTATACAGGTTTACTCCTGAGGAGAACCGAACCTCAGCATCGGCGCTCTAAACTAAGCAACAATTCACTAAGCAATTCTATCTCCAAAAGTAACAAATTATAATCGATTTAACAGTGGATCAGAAAATACACTAACACAGCAAATCACAATTCAATTCAGTGTACAATTTTGTTATAAGCACATTGCCGATAACGATGTTATCTTTTGACGCCACAATTTTCCCAGTATTTCGATTGGTTAAATCAACAGAGCAAGAAAGTTGGCTCTAAATCATGATTTGCTACAATCACAAATAAAAATATAATTCATTTTTTAACAAAGATTTAATACTTGATTTTAATACTTGTACAGCCATAGATACGATTATAGATAATCGTTTCTAAATTTCTACATAAAAAATATGGTAAAGCCATAAATACAATCAAATACTTTGCATTTTTGAAGACCTGATAATAATAAGCATAATGATACGCCTTCATCGCTATCAACCAAATGCTTTTCATTCGAAGCACATAGAACCTACAAAAATTCCAATAAACATATAAAATAGATATATATATATATGTTTGTATAGATATAGATTTATAAAGTATATTGTATGACTATGATTAAAATTATCTATTTTGCTACAGATAGGATGAAGGATAAATCTCATCTCTTAAAAAAATAAAACCCACTACAAGACTATAAAATACAATAACTGAAAGACAAAAAAAGAAAGCTCAGATGTTTCGCAGTAAGCATCAACGAAAACTCTTATATCATATAAACAACCCCATTTGCAAAATGAAATCCATTTGTTCAAAAATACTTCTAAATACTATAAAATTTGAAGAAATAAACTGATTTTTGGCTCTACAAAATATTAACTGAAATCCGATTCGATGAATCAATATAAAATTACATTTCGAAAGCGTAAACGAGCAATGTAATCCGAATCCTTTTCAAATGTTATCGCATTATCTTCACCTAAAATTTCGTTTGGAATCCGATCAACGTTAGTAAATACATAAACTTTATTGGTGAAATGGCCGGCGAATCCAAACCAAATAGTTACTCGAAGACCTTTACTTTCGAAGAATACGTGGATTGGTAAGGGCAACTCTGTAAAATAATAAATGATAGAGAATAAAGAATGAAAACAAAAAAAAGCAAAAATATATTTGACATTTAACATTATCACGACGGCAGAGACAAAAAAATAAAACACCGTGCATAGACCGCCAGTGCAAAGTATGATGTTCATATGAAAATGTATGGTTTGTAAAAATAAGGGGATCCGATAAACTCCTCGGTAAAGCCAAATTTGACCTCAATTCAGGAATCTGTATATATGCAAATTCACTATCACTTTCAATATCTGAAACTTTTGCGCAATTTACTAATAATCAAAAAGTGATCTAATGATCTCTTATCAATTTTGAAATAAAATTTTGAAAATAATTAAATGAAATAAATTAATCGGAAAAAATAAAAAAGTTAAATAACTCGTTATGCAACCTTGGAATGTTAAATTAAGGATCTGTACAATCGATTCACGTTTTCCAAGATGTTTCTTAAGATGCTTTACAAATAAACCATTAATTTCTCCTCGTTCTTCAAAGGCGCTTACACCAAGACTTCTGTGAAATTTATGCATTAAAATTTTCGATAAAAAGGATTAAATGCAAAATGAAGCGCCAAACAAATTTTTACGTGGCAAATCCATAAACAGTATTTCGACTAATGCATTCATTTGGATTGAAATTGTTTCCAAGATTGAAAAAAGTTCGAAAATTATCGCTAAAATTTGTTAAATTAGGCCGAAATGAGACTAAATTAGATATTAGCAAGGCGGTCATGTGTGGGACTGATAAAATCTAATTTGACTGTAATACATCTTCGCTCAGATATCATCTATATTAATATATATTAAGATATATTTATATATCTAAGATTACGATATATATATATATATATATATATTATCAATTAAAACTTATTACATTTAAATCATGGCAAAAACATACCATAAAGTTTTACGACAAATGTCCAACAGAATTACGTTAAGAGATGGAATACAGTTATGAATAAGTGAAAGAAACCATTCTATCGGAATGCAGCATTCTAGAGTAATATATAATGGAACATCCACTGGTAACAAGTAGCACTGACCATTTATTTCAAAACCATGGCCAGCAAAATAAAAAACAGCTGAAAAAATCACATACAAAATAAAAAAAATGATTTAATAGTGCTAAATAAAAATGCAAACCTAATATCAAAAAAAAATTAAAACTACATTACATACCATAAACGCCATCTCCCAATAATTTCCTATATTCCCTCATTATAAACTTCATTTCTTCCAGATTTAAATCGCCCAAGGTCACCGTTTTAAAACTGAAATAATACGAAATAACAGGTGCATAAAATAAAATATCCCGATAACTGCCATTGCCGATAAAATGATTGTTATTAAAAACACCATCAATTAAAATTCTAAAATCAAATACGGGAACAATAATTTAAATGAAATACTTTAATTTCTGAAGCTCATTGGCTATTGTTTCTGCATCACAATGAGGTAAAACCAAATTGGGTAGATTCAAATAGTTGCTATTACTTATGATCAACGCAACTTTATCACAGGCAGATAAGTTTAATTCGTTGTGGGCTATAAAATATTTGAACAGAATAAAATCTTTGAATCGAAAAGTTAGAATAAATAAACGGAAGAGATATATACCAATAAAACAATATAAAGTGACATAAAAATAAGATAATTAGACCAAAATACCGAAAAAGAAAATTTAATGAAGAAAATTACCTGAAAAATCTATCTTCGGACACCTGTGTAGCTTTTGAACGCAAGAATCACATACTAAAAACTAAGAATAAATGTTTTCCCCTAGAAATTTGGAATGTTCAAAATTATTAGTATACATATGATTCATAAACTCACAGCGACTGTTAATAAAGGAATCCAACTTGATATTCACTGAAACTAGTTTTGATGACAGCATTTCGCCCTTTTGTTCATAAAGATGATAATTTGCCATGTTATTTGTTATCATGTTCCATACTTCACATTTAAATTCTCTGCCAACATTACATTGACATCTGATAATGAAAAAAATAAGATAAATCAAGTTGTGATTTAAATTAAATTGAGGAAAAAACTCAATAATTAGAATATTAGAATATTCATATATTAAATTTTTCATAAATTAAATATCAGAACAATAATTCGAACAATGCGAAATTTTGATGTTCCTCTAAGCATACTGAAAAAAACAACAAAAAGAGCAAAAACAAAAATAAAAACAAAACAATCCAAAAAAAGTGATCTTTCATTTTAGAAAGTTAAATTAGAAAGTAAAATAGAAAATTAATTTTTCACTTGTAAACGTAGATACAATGCAATGAATTTGAAATTATCGACAAAAGTAACGCAAAAAAATTAAGAAAGAAAATTAAATTAGTTACTTACCTGAACACCCACAAAGTTTCCGTGCATTCACCAAGAATATTTTCATCGCCCGTTTTCCACTGAAAATGAGGATAAGGAAATCCTTTCGCATGACAGGTTAATTTGACCATTTCATCATTTTCAACTTTTATGGATATTTGTTCAGGTCGGGACCAAATCACACCAACTAAACGAGAGAGAGAAATGGAGAATATAGTAACAAATTATATAAAAATAAAAAATACAAAAATACTATGAAATATATGCGAATGAAATTAGCATAACTTGCCATATTTCCTCATCAAAATCAACTGAGGCTCATCCACAAGATGCCGATAAATTTTCGATAAAGCTCGCAATCTTTGCAGAAAATCTTGAATTGTTATTCCTCGATTTCCCCAATGTTTTAGTAGTTGTGATCCAATTTTATGGGAAGATTTCAAAATATTCGATAATTCTTCCCTACTGAAACTATTACTGAAAAAGTGAATTTCTATATGCTTTTCACCCTACAGGAATCCGTAATTCATAATAATCTGATTACCACACCTATCTGCTAAAAAAAATAAAATTCTATCTCTTTAGTATGTCGCCTGTTATATTTAAATATTTTGCTTCATAATGAATATTAACACGCTTTTAATTCAAATTGAGAAAAAAAATCCGAAGAGCGACCTGAATCCAAAAGGATGAAGAGGATCATTACTCACAATATTCATCCATCGTTCATGTGAATCCAAACTCTCCGCAAGTTGAACATATATATTATATGGAAGTTCGGCCAAATTTGTATGATAGGTTGTCATCTAAAATATTTATTTAGCAGTAGCAATTTGAAAAGTGATGTGTACCTGTCGCATTCTATAAATCAGCAAACTTTTTTTTCTTTTTTTGAACTGTTTCGTAAACTGAAATTAGGGAACACCCGAATGTTGCCATTCAAAAATCAAATAAACATTTCATATACTACCTTCTTGTTCTTCAAATATTATTCAAAATCAACATGGCATGTTTAAAACTACTTACAAAATTGTGGAAAATTGAAAAATTATTGTAGCTTACTTTGAATATAATGCGCTTGAATAATAAATCCGATTTGACAATTTAATTTCATATTCATTTGTTAATCCCAAAATTAGGAAATTATAAATTATTTTCATAAATAACTTCCATCTTTAAAGGTACTCTTTTAATCCCTCCAATTAACGTCCATGTAACATTATTTGCGTAAGCAGCAGGATACTTGAAAGGTTGATTTGCAATAGATTTATAATTCTATTCTACAACTACTTTGATTTAAGCAATTTAATATTAAACCAACATGATTTCCTAAAGCGAAAGTCCACAGTCTCTCAGCTGTTGGTTAACTTCTGTGATTTGCCATTGTTTATTAATCGTAGTCAAATAATCGCAGCTGTTTATTTAGGCTTAGCTGAGGCTTTCGACAGTTTCACTTAGAAGGCTGATAATAGTCCTGAATGAATTTGGCAATGAATTTGGCATCAAGGGTAAAACTCTTTAACTGTGTGTCAGGTTACCTAAACGATCCATTCGCATTAATAACACTCTGCCTGATTTCATTTTAGTTAAACCTGGTGTACCAGAGCTCTTCATTTCTTTTAATATTTTTACGTATTTTTACGTATTTACGGTTTTTCACTGATATTTGTTTATTGTTCAAGTATTTACTTATATGCATGATTGTAAAATTTATTTCTCGCATGGCGGAACGGGCAATTCAAATGTCTTTCATAAAGATTTATACAATATAGTTATTTGGCTCTAGGAACAAAAACGACAGAAAAATTGTCGACAAAAAAATTAAAACTTTATATATCAACGCTGCGATATGTTTCCGAAAGTTCCCTCGTTACCTCTGTTAATTATTCTGCATTGATTCATCTAAATAATTTTTCAGATCTCGATCTATTAATTGACGAGAAACTTAGTTTCGGCCTAAACAGCAGATAAATTATTAATATTAATAAATCTCTTAGAATTCTGAACGAATTATTCAGAAATTAAATTTCCTAACTAATATGAATAATACATTCATATGCGCACTTTTGGAATATCAGGTTAATCCCCTAGATTTAGCAAAAAATTTGCGTTAAATGATGACCTATCGAAGTATTTCCTAGGGCGCTTAAATGTGGCCTCTCTTCGATTATACAGCTATTAAATTATATAATTCACAAAATTATAATTTTAATCCACTAAGAGTCAGAAAAATTGAATATCAGATACGAGAAATATCAACCTAAATTGTTTTAACCCTTTTACTATTTACGGGTTTAACGGGTTGTAACCTATATGTGAGACCAGTGTTCCGCCGTTTAATTTTTTCGTTTGAAGTATTAACTACTGAACCAGTTGCTATCAAGTTACCACACGACGCTGCTCTTATCATATTCATCGCCCAATTTAAAAGAAGGCTTATCCACAATATACTATTAAAAAAACTTGTAGGCCCGATTCAATATTATTAGCACCTTTTTTCCTTTCCTTTTTATTTTTATTACTTCGTTCCATTCCTTCATATTACTAACTGCTCTAACCCCATTTCTCATCTCTAATTCTAATAGCTTTGTTCCGTGCTTGGTTCATTCTTGAATAAATAAATCAACTGTAGTGAAATCAACTGGTTTAGCTGTCATTACAAACGGATTTCGAACCCGAGGATTTCCCCCGTTGAATTTATTAGAGATAGAAGAGATAAATTCACATAACTGAAGAAGGAAAGATTGTTCACTAAGAGTTACCTAAATACTTTCCTTCAATTTAAGAAATTTACGAAAGCAAACCATTGTTTTGATGAATTTAATGAAAAGTATGAGCAAATTTTGAATGCGGTGAATATGTCGGCAAATGAAAAACATTTCAGTAGCTACTTTGAACTGGAAAAACAGCGAGAAAGAGGGTTGTAAAATAAGGGAGAAAACTGTGCCTTTGTTAGGTCAAGGTGGTCGCTGAATAGAGCTGAAGGAGAGAACCGTGATCCACAAAAGTACAAAAGTAAAGCCCACGGAATCCATTCTTACCACTTCCGAAAGGAAAAGCAGGAAAAAGTGGTAATTTTTAGAAATTCAAGCCGAACAACCGCAGCCATCGGAATTCACGTCACGCGGCACGTGATCTTCTCACGTGCAAATCGCATATTTGGAGCAAATTAATATTTATAGAGTGCTGAAAGGTTCCAAGAACAATGAACTGAACAGACAATTAATGATTGCGCAATTAATTCGACAAATTAATCGACAAACTGGCGAATACAAAATAATCCCCACAATGCAACCCAATCACCTAATGATCACCTACTAAGACCCAATAACAGCTACTACTGGAACTCCGAAGTTGCTGGCAACGGGCCAGGAATACAGTAATCCAAATTTAGTCTGCCTATGACAAGTGGAAGTCGCATGAACAAATTGGCTGCGTACTGTCCGCGCCGGCGTGTCTTGGCTGAGTATCAAAATTAAGAAGCGCGTTCGGCGTCGATGAAAGTGAATTTCGACTTCACTAGGTGAGCCATTTAATAGATTTGCTTGGCCCACTTCTTCCATGCCCGTTACGTGCGTCCCTTAGGCTGTGCGTTTATTTCAGCGTTTATTTCTAGAAGCATTCGATTTGCACATTTTTTGTTTTTATGTTAACGTATTTTTTCGCGGCCTATAAAATTATTTAAGCCGTATTTACTATTCACGTAAATTTCGCGGTATAAATCAGCTTTATTCATTTCGGGTTTCATTAACAACGTGCCTTAAATTAAGGCTATTTTTAAATTTTGGCCTTAAAATCGTTCTCCATTTTGTTTTTCTTACGTTTTTTTGGATTCTTCCTCTTCACTTTTTTCCTATATAAAATATTTTGGGTACATCGTTTCACGTATTTACGTGTAAAACGCTTTCATTAAAATGCTCGCTTCTGTGAATCCGCATCAAATTTGAAATTTCATCGGCGGGGTGTTTGCGTCTTTTATTGCGTTATAACTAGTTGTTAACGTTAATGAGCTATAGTGGACACGAAATATTACGATTTGTATTATTTTGAGTCAATGTTTTGAATGGATTTGTCACGTGACAAGACATTATGCTGTTGGACGCACCAGTATGAAATTTTACGCTTTTAGGGACGTTGTTGTGAAATATTTCGCTTTCAGATAATATTTTATTACGAGCCTCCTAGACGCGCTTCAAATATGATATTAGAACGTCTGAAATGTCATGCTTCTAGATGTCATTTTAAATGGTGTTTCAGATTCAGGCACACTGAAGGAAAAGACCGGTTTAAGCATTGAATCCTTTTGGCGCTTCGAAGTTTATATTTGAACATTTTTATATACTCCTGTTTAATACGTTATTATATCATGAAGTATTATCATATTTTTAGGCATATCAATGTAAATCATTGTTTTAGGCATATCAAGCTCTTTTGGATTTTGGAGTTTTCAAAAACAACCTTTAGACGAGTGAGGTTGAAATATTATATTAGGCAGTCATCTTAAAGTAAAAATTATTGCACCGTAGAAATTGCCAGTAGATTATCTCATTTTTCTGGAAAACCTGGAAAAATAAGCCTTTTAGCTTAGTGCGCTCGCATTATTAGTTATGAGATATGTTGACGCTAACTCAGATATGTTCTGTGTTTTTCGATTTCCGATATTGAAGCCCTTTTCCTGGCAGGAGAAAATTTATCTTTCAAACGGACCATCGATGGTTCTATTGCTAAGTAATTCTGTGAGAAAATTTGCACAGTCTAGCAAACCAGTACAGTAAATCATATGTGAATGCTCTTGAAAAAAAATTACGCTTCCAAGCAGTATTAGCGGGAAATATTTATTGCTGGTGTTTTAAATTGAACTGTAACGATTGTACTGTTAACAATATTTTTGTTAAATTGTCTAAATTGTCTAAATATTGTAAATAAATTGTCTAAATATGGTAATTCATGTGTTTCGTGAACAGCGCTTATTACACGTAAGCTTTTTAAATTGTAACCGAATTTTGTGAATTGGCTGAATTTCTCAGCAGAAAAGTAATGAAGCTACTTAACGTTATCAAATTTTATCGAAAAGTAATGAAGGTACTTAACGTTATTTGAATAGATTTGCTGTGTTATCTCTCGATTTGATGCAACGTTCGTCGATTTGAATATATACTGGACGTGGTAAAGAGGCGACGGATTTAATTATTTCATATGATGGAGCCACCTGCTGTTACCTCATGCTCGCAGCAACAACTTGCTGGTGGCAATAATTCTTCGAAGTATGTTCCTTAAATTCCTTATTATAATTTTATAACTTCTGCAGATAATATTGCTTTACATACTTTTTTTTACCGAGATATGAAGATAATTTAAAAGTTGAGCAGATTTTTATTGCAATTATTGATAATAATAATTTATTGATTATAATTTGCTGGGGACGGAAACTTATGTGGTAATATGATTATATCATTCTAATCAGTACTTTTGAAGCAAATTTTTCCCCAAAAAATAGTAATTTTATTATTATTTATTATTATATTTATTTATTATTATCAAAAATGTAACTTTCGGAATTTAAAATTTTTTGAGAAAAAATGTTTTTTAAAAATTTTTTGCTCCTTTGAGGCAGTTAAAGATAAAAGAAAGGCAGTCTTCTGAAATAGAATCCATTTAAAAATGTTTCAAATCGCCCTAGTCAAAATATTTATGTTTGGGAGGTTTGATTTTTTTTATTGAAAATGGAACATTCTAATAATATGTTCTATTTAAATCAGCGGTTCCTATTTCGTTAAGCTTTTTGATTTTACATATATTTTTAGTCTTGAGAAGCTTCGACGAACATTGGTTACTGATAGAGCAAGTAGCCAAACTATGCATCCTCAGCATTTTCGGCTACAAATTGAACCAAGCTTAACATACACTGCTTCATCAAATCGAGTTTATGAGGAGCTTCCAGAAAATTTTATGGAAAGTATTAGTCCACAACAAAATCAAGGAACAATGCAACAGAATAGTCCACAATTAGCATCTCTTGCTCCAATGAATGTTACAGCTAATGACAGGTTGAATTCATTTGGTTTTGATGAATTTGGTATTCATTCGATTAATCAAAAGATAGTAAAATCTTTTCATTTATTTTTTTTTTATTCTACCTTTTCTTACTTTTTTTGACTCACTTCTTATTAAAAAAAATGAGGGATTAGCGATCACCATTTGCGGTTATATTATTTATTTGAAATTTTTGCCGGGATTCATTTGACAAGAAGGCCGCCATCTGGACTCAGTTCTTGTTGTATTCTAAAATTTTGTAGGATTTCTTTGCTAATATTAAATTTTAGTGGTTATATGACATTGGTACCTATGTCCTCTTCTCAAAATTATGGTAGTTCTATGAAAGTTGAACCTCTGCATGATCAAACCCATCATCAAACTATATTGCATCGTGGCGCGCGCTGCATCGACAAATTAGGGTATCTTTCCATTTGCTGTTTATTCATTATTCTATTTATGATTTATTTTTATTCATGGAATCTATGAACTGTTTGCAGTAATCGCTTTAATTAAGAATTCATTACTTGCTGCGTTATTTGTTATGAATAATAGAAGTTTTGTACGACTTTCCTAATTTGCTTACAGATTCAGTTCTGGACCAGCAGATTTATTATCCCCCTTGCATTCAAATCGATCAGACAATACGATCTGTGAAACGATGATTGGTATTCATCAAAATGGCGGCCGAACAGATGCTATTGAATTGAGAAGGCCTGTGCAGTACATCAAGGAAGAGGTGGTGGTTATTGTTTTCTAAAGAAAAAATTTTAATTTTTAACATATTATCAAAATTTTTTCATTTGAACAAACAGTTGTAGCATCTTATATCTGCTTTTAGAACTTAAGATTTTTCAAGATTTCAAATGCATATAAGAATATAAAGATGGTACAGGTTAATATTTAATACTTTTAGGTTGATATGACCCAGGAATATAAAAATGTTGACGCAAATTTTCTGACTCATCAAATGCAACAGTCGGTTTGTTTCCTCATATTTTTTTTTTGTTTTTTGTTTTATTTTGTATTCTAAAGTTTTTTGTAGTGAAAATGCATTCAGTAGTTTTTATTTTATTTATGAAAATCATTATTATTATTTTGAAATGTTATTTATAGACAAGTATAATGACACCAGATGAACGACAACAGGAGCTTGAACATAGATTGGCTAATGCAGAGACACCGCCAGCTGTTAGTAATGTTGAACTAGCCAGTTCATTTATCGCCACAATGATTGGAGAACAGGTAGTATTTTTCGGATATTAATTTTTTGGAAAAAACTATGTTTAATCTATGGATAGCATAGTTACACAACTGAAATGGCATTGCCATTTATGCAACTTTTTTGGTGAATTTTGATTTGTAAGTGAAGATTTTTTAGCGTCATTCTCCAGTTTCACAACAAACAGTGTACCGCCCTGGTCCAACTACATTTCACCACCAAGCAACCCGTGATATGAATAATGTTGATGATGTGGACGCAAGCGGTAGTGCCGGCACTAGTGCAGATCTTAGTGGATCAATAGATGGTACAGCAGAAAATTCATCGAGACATAAATCTGCAGCAGGTATTTTTTTTATTCAGGTTCGCCTTTAAAATATGGGATGCGATCCAGTTATAGTTTTTTTTTGAAAAGATCTTGACAAATTTTTTTAAAATATTTTTTGGCGAAAATTTTTAAATTATTAAAGGATTACCAAGAGCAACTTATTCAACAAAGGACACCACTGATCCTTTGAATGCAGAAATCGATGACAACATTTATATTGATACAAAGGATCTCTGCAGACGAATCGCGTGGGAGTTAAAACAACATTCTATTCCTCAGGCCATATTTGCAGAGCGGATACTTTGCCGGTATATCATTTAATTGTTATATTTTGTTAAGTAATCTGTTTAAATTGATTTAATACAACAAAAATTGGGAGTTAACTTGTTCTTAAAAGGCTATGATCTAATAATCTAAAGCATCGTATTATCTTATTCCTTCACGAGTTCTATTTTATAAAAACTTTCAGGAGTCAAGGTACATTGTCGGATCTATTAAGGAATCCTAAGCCTTGGAACAAACTTAAATCAGGTCGTGAAACGTTTAGAAGAATGTTTAATTGGGTTCAACAGCCTCTAGAATCGCGATTGGGAATACTGGATATGTATAAAGGTATTTTGGAAAAATAATAAGAAACATTTTTTTAGTTTGGTTTGATTTTGTTCTTATTTGTCTTTTAATTATTATAATTGTTATAGGAAGCGGTGACGAAAACTATATTGGCTCGACAAGTATACAAAACCCATTAGGAGGCAAACAAGTGAATTTGCCTTCATCCAGTAGCATACCTCCTATGAGTCCACCAACTCCTGCACAAAATGCCAGACAAGGCGCAAGACATAGATCTCGAGATATCGAAAATGGAGGTAAGTATTTTCAGTAAATTTAGATATTCCATTTGTGCTTGAATTTCTCGTTTTTATCACTTCTTCATCGAAGTATTCATCAATTTTTAGCACATCATGGTGGTAGTGGAGCAAAGAGGCCAAGATTGGTTTTTACCGACATCCAGAAGCGAACTTTACAGGTAATTCGCCCGTTTTTTTGTTTTTATCTTATGGAATTTTTGGAAACACAATTGTTGTACCTGGAATTTAACAATCATTTTGAGTAATTTTCAGGCTATTTTCAAAGAAACACAGCGGCCGAGTCGTGAGATGCAACAAACTATTGCTGAACATTTACGACTTGATCTCTCTACAGTTGCAAATTTTTTTATGAATGCACGTCGAAGGTCGAGAAGCGGACCACTAATGGGTGATTCTCCAGCACCATATCAACAGGTTATATAATATTTTTGAACTTCTCAGAAATTTTCCGCGAATTTACGCGAAATATTTTAAATTTTCAAGGTTCGTCCAATAACTCCGCCCCCTGCATCACCTCCTCATCAGCAACGTGGGCAAAGCCGAATTCGTGGGGCTCGGCATATAATACGTGGCCAGGTAGAAGTGAATTTGTCAATAACCACTAGTAATAGGATTGAAAATACCGTGGCTCAGGTTGCAGAAGAAGCCGCAGAATACGCCAGAAAGCGTGATGTATGTTTCCTTATTTTTTTAGCATTATTAACTACATATATATGTTTTTTCCAAAATTCAGATATTTTTTCGAAATCAGTTAGGAAGTTTTTCATCCCCTTATTTTCTTGTTTGATTACGTTTACAACTGTTTAATTTTATTTTCACCATCAGTTAGTTTTACGGCCTTTATTATTCTTTATTTCCGTTTATTGCTGAATATAATTATTTATTATATTTTAGATATTTTCTTTAATTTCAATTTAAAGTTTTATTAGTTTCTATAAAATTAAATGTCCAATTATTTCTCGTGGTCGTTTCAATCGCTGATTTAATTGGCTTAAAATTTGTAAACTCCTGAAAAATGCTTTTTGAAAAGTTGTGCATTTTCAGCGACTTTATGTAAATTTAGATCAATCCAAATGTTGAGAATGAGGATGATCAAAATGGTATGCGTGCAGAAATTGATAATATTTCTCACAGTTTAGAATACAAGGTAGGATGTCTTTCCTTTTTCGCGATTGTTTCTGTCAAATTTAAACGGTTACTTTCTTATTAGAGAATCGATCCCATCCTGCTTGACCTTAGCCTGGAGCATGGTCCCTTTGTTTCTTTTATTTCTTATGCTTTTTGTTGGTGAATAGGATAATATTTATAAAATTTAGAAATTCCCAGCAATTCATACAGCTAGCTGTTATCTTCATATTACATTTTGTTATTACTTCTTTCCGTATTATATCAACAGAATAGAATTAAGTAACGAATAATGATTTAAAGAGATGCTTTTAAAGAATGAGAATTCAGGAAATTTCTCTGAATTGAAATTTGAAATTTCCCTTTTTTATTTCTATATGGGGTGATAAATAAATGTTATTTTCAGTTTTTTATAAGATGAATTGTATCTTTTGTTCCATTAGTGCTATTTTTTTAGGTGGTGAATCTGTCTCCTTCTTGCTCTATAGTCGTAGATTCCAGGCAGTCGCCCAATAACAACAATACTCAAAAAACCGTGGAACCTCCATGCAATACACCACTGGATAATGAGGTTTGGTAATATGTAATTTTTAGTTAGAATTAGTGAGTTTGAATATTCGAAGATATTAGAAAGGTTTGGTTTCTTATTCATTACCTGTGGATTATTCTTTTGATGCCTTTGCATTGATAATTTCCTATTTTGATTTAATTAAAATCATTTTTTTAGAAATTATTGCATAAATTTGGTTTCTTATTTGATTATATTATATTTGATTGTACTTTATTATTGTTGAAGTAAAATCAAAAATCTTGAGGCAGTAACTTTTATTAAATTTATATGTTTATATCACATATATATAGAATTCAACTTAACAAATCTGCAGAGTTTCTATAATGATGAACAAACGAGTACGCCTGTGGTGTTTTACGACAAATCTGTGAAAATTGAGCATGAGAATTCTGCTGCTGCTGCTACTGTTGCTGCTACTACTTCGGAGTAAAGGTCCATTCTTTTTCGTATATTCAATGATATGATTTGTGTGCTAATAGGGTGTTTGAGGTAATTGTTCTTGTTATTTTTAGGAAATATTTAATAATCAATGGTTTTGTACTTTGTTTCCCTTAACATCGGTTCAGGATATCTTATTTTAGTCAAATTCCTTTTGATTATTTTAGTCAAATTCCTTTTGATTTAAAATCGCACTTTGAATTAATGCAGTAAATTGAACTGAAGTATGTTTCAAAAAACATGATTTGAAGCAGTAATAAGTCGCAAATTAATGCGCGTTCAAATAAAGGATTCTGAAATAATTTGCTTAAGGCAGTTGAAGTATTTGACTGCATCAACATATTGAACGTGCAGTGAAGCATTTTGACGGTGTTCAGTTGCACATCACTACGCAAAAAGATTTGAACGTCGGTTTTGCGGTGATTTATTTAAATAACTCTTGCTTTTTAAATATGTAATAAATATAAGGGCATTCCTTTATTCTTCCAGAGTGTAATTCATGGAAGTGATTTTTCAGGTTTTCGATGTTAAACTGATCATTTGTTCTGAAATGAAGTACTTGTTTTCCGCGGATGTTTAGATTGATTGGAATAATTTCATTGTTTTCAACGGAGAACAATAGAAGAAATGTAACGCTGCTGTCTTTTTTTCAAAAGATCAATGAAAACAAATGGTTCCTTTTATCTAAAAACCGCAGCTCATTTATCAGCTTGATATTATATGCTTCGATATTTACGAACCAAAAATGTCTCGATATAACTTGTCTCTAGCGTCCATTTCTCTGTTGTTGTATTCCCGCAGAATTTGCCACACTTTCTACTGATTTATGCGATTTAATTGCCTTTCATGTGGTGATAACCTTTAACCTCGGGCATTCATGAAGTTTGATATTTCCGCTTACAAAAAACATTCCTAATCGGTCACGCCTATTTAGCTTTTTGCCCATCTTAACGAATTTTTTATGTTGTCATTTTAAAAATTGTAAATTTGAATTTACACTTTTATTGCTTTTGATCTTTGTACTTATTTTTAAGTTTTGTGTACTTGATGAGCTGTCAGATATTTTTCCTGCATACATTTTCGCTAGTTTTGTAAGTAGTCTCATTCAGCTAAAAATTTCTCGACAACGTATGGCCAGATATTTCTTCATTTTCATTCTAAATGGTTGTTCGGCCGATTAACAATTAATAATTATAAACAATTATTAGGAAGGCAAAGTGGTATATTCAGGTTTGTGATTCGTAGGACTTATGAAAAAATTTTCTGCATTCCATGTCGATCTTAGGGCTGCCGGAATAAAGGGAATGGTTTATTAAATGGGTTACTGATATATGGTGCTGGACACATGAAATAGATCATACCGTTAGTGCTTTCATTTCTCATAGTTTTTAATTGTATTAAGGCATTTATTTTCAGTTTTCCAACAGAGTCGATCAAGGTGAAATTAAGAACCAAAAGTTTTTATGAAATGTCGAAGTTGAATTAAACTTTTCCGTTCGTGTTAGCTCCATGAGCAGAACTATAAAAAAAGCAACTATTTTCACTACATGTTTCCACTGTTATTAGCCGCTGATTTGTACCTTCACCCAACAAGATTCTTCAAATATTCCACTGAATCTTCGTGTTGCAAATAGTTTTTTTGATAATTTTTATATCATTTTTTAGTACTGTGATTTGTCAATTAATATTCTTAATAAAAGATATTGAACAAGGATGTAAAATAAAAGCAGTTTGTTGCATTCCGACTGAGAATGGTGAGAACGGCTTTTTACTGCACGCCGACCTATCGTGAAATTTTAATTCTCGTTGAAAATTATAACGAAAACAAAATGCAAAATGCTGAATGGAGGAGGGCGTTCATCCATATGGAAAGATTATAAGGCTAAATTTAGGAGATCTTGCATTCATTTTCATTGACATGTTCTTTTCCAGTTTCAGGAGCTTTTATCTCAGCTGTTGAGATTTCATCCAGCAGATTCATTAATGTTTCATCTAGATTAAATATAATAATAAATTGTATGTTATATAAGCCGAATAAATAATTTTAGTTGAAGACCTTACATACCTTGCATAGTATAGTTGGGATCCCTAACGTTACTTTGGCCTGGTTTCAGCGGAGTTAGTGAATCCGGTGGGTTTGGCGCTTTTGCTTTTGGCTTTAAATACTGTCTTGCAGAATTGAAAGAATCCATTTGATCAGCAATTCCTAGATTATTCGGATTCTGAAATAAAAAATTGTCACAAAATGTGAATATTTTATATTAAGGAAAAAAATCGTATTATTGGATGCAATTCAGAAATTAAAGCTTTCATTAAACCTTTTCGTCTTCAATACGTGCCAATTTAGTTCTTAAGATTTCCAGCTCATTCTTTAATTTTTCTATTTCTTCATCTGCTTCATCGCAAGCATCTCCAAGTCTATTATTTTCTTTCAGCAATATTTTTATTTTCTGTTTCGCCACAACCAAATTTTCTTCATCCTTTAATAGGAAACTCATAAAGATAAAAATAGGGCAAATTATAACTAACCACTCTCAGTTGCAAGTAAAGCTAATCATCTTCAATTCAACTTGAAAGATACGAAGGACTCGAGTTTTTATATACAGTTATAAAAAATAATCTAAATGGCAAAATAGCTCTTACATCATCTGTTTCGTAGGCATCTACGTTTTCCTTCATTATTCCTTTTTCTTCACATTTCAGCTGTTTCAACTCGTTTATTCTTTTATCTGATTTGCTTAATTTTTCTTCAAGCGCGTAAATGGTTTTCATCAACACTTCACGTTCCTGTCTAATTTTATTAAGTTCATTTTTACTGATGTCGGAGTCTTCTTGCCATTTTTTCTTTACAGCATTAAATTCCATCTCAAGCATTTTGTATTTTGTTTCCATCGCCTTTAGTATTTTTACAAGTTCTGTGTTAAGTGTGTTCATTTTTTTCATTTCCTCCCTAAAAAATGTTGAGTCAGTGCTTTGATCAACGATTTCTATATTATCCGAACGGCTGTGACCCTGAAATAAATAATATACACCATTATAATATGAATATTTTCTATCTTAAAAAAAAAGCACACTATTAAATATAATTATTCAGAAATTAAACACAAACTTTCAACAAACCTTTTCGTCTTCAATACGAGCCAATTTGGTTCTTAAGGTTTCCAGCTCATTCTTTAATTTTTCTATTTCTTCATCTGCTTCATCGCAAGCATCTCCAAGTCTATTATTTTCTTTCAGTAATTCTTTTATCCTCTGTTTCGCAACATCCAAATTTTCTTTATCCTTTAATACGAACTTATAAAAAATAAGAAAAATCAAAGGCAAATTATAACTCTCTCTCACTCTCACACCCAAAAAACTCACAAATAAACTCATTTTCTTTATGTTTTGAAGAATAATTAAAATATTACTAACATCATCGTTTATGTCATAATTTTCCTTCACCATTCTTTTTTTTTCATAAAACTGTTTCAATTCGTTTGTTCTTCCTTTTGATTTACTCAACTTTTCTTCAAGCGTGTGAACGGTTTTCACCAGCACGTCATATCCCTGTCTAATTTTATCAAATTCATTTTTACTGATAGCTGAATCTTCTTGCCAAATTTTCCTTATATCACCAAATTCCACTTCAAGTATGCTATATTTTGTTTCCATCACCTTTAGCGCTTTTACAAGTTCTATGTTAATCGATTTCATTTTCTCCATTTCTTCATTGAAAAATGAGTCAGTGATTATTTTCTCAATATTAATTGCGCCTTCCTGGAATATTTCAAATCATGATGTGAAACTTACTTTAAATCTTCGTTTACAAAATGGATATGTAAAACAAAACTAAATTTAAAATTTAAAGATATATTTTAAAAATATAATAAAAATTATTTGTACCTGTAAACTGGTGACGATAGATGCTACATTTTCATTGAAAACTCCCATCATGTTTTCCCACTTAGTTCTTTCCTGTTCCATCTTCGAAAAAAATTTTTCTTCGGTGCACTGTGAAGTACATAAAAATAGATTCTTCTGATTTTCTATTGCTTTCATTAAATCAAGAATCTCTGAACACATCGCATTAGTTCTTCTATTTTCTTCTATTCTGTTTGATTCAAAAATTTGTTCACAATTTTTAAAAGTCTCTTCGACAGCTTCCCGCACCACCAGTCGTTTTTTCTCCGAAAAGTTCTCATCGACTAATAAATTTTTTTCTATCATCTAAAAATAAAATTTATAATTAAAATAACTCGGATAAATAAATACAATAAACAAAATTCTTTGGTGAAATAGATTTTGTTTCATGTTAAAATTACGAAAACAAAAATAAAAATGGAAATAAGAATAAATATTGAACTTGGTTATTTTTATTATTAAAAATTAGAGAAATTAGTTCGCTTCGATTCTTCAGCAACGTCATACAATAAAATGAAATACCTCTTTCAAACATTCGACCACATCCAGACATTTACGATCATTCGAAATCTTTTTACACAGCTGCAAAATTTTTCCACAACGCTTATTGATTTTCTGAAAAGAATCGTAGATTTTGCTCTATTTTTTCGACACTCTCAACAGTTAATCATTTTTTACTTATTTCTACAAAAAATCTTAGAAACCGAAATCTTTGCACCTCAATTAAAGAAGAGAATTAAGATTTAAACTTACTAAAATTGTGGCGGTACTCGCTTTTTTCGTTTCCTCGTTGGCATTTAAACCATTTTTGATGGCTGTAATGAGTGAATTTTGAAACTGCATCTCACTGCACCACTGGTTCAGATTACAATTCAAATTATCCAGAACTGTGCCAAAATTCCTATTTTCAGTGAACATTGCTTCTATTTTCTGGTTGTTCTATAGAAAACACACATTGTTAATAATGATTCAAGGCCCATAATCCTCTGATCAGTGTAAATTAATTTCTATAATGTATTGATTTTAAATACTATTTAAAAAATTTTATCTTCTTGACTAATATTGTGGTATTATCATTTGCTGCCAAAATAAAAAAATAAGTAAGGAAATGTTGGAGAAATATGAAAGTTATTTATATCCATACTAAACAAAGAGTTAATAGAATGGTAACCCTGTAAACATCTGAGATCGTTAATCCAGAACTTCCAGATTGCACTTAATGTAAACATCTTAAAAATTATCAAACTATAAAAAAACTGACAGTATGGTTAAATTTTAGAAAGAAATATCGCTAACCATAATCATAGATTCATCAACTAAATTTTTTATATTTAACAATAATTTCATCATGTTGTCCATACCAATCCCCAACTGCTTTTGATCTCGGCTTAAAGCTAGGATTTCGTCAATCTTATTTTGCATAGAAACAAGTAAATCGCTTTTGACTATGATATTCAGCAGTTCGATTTTCTGTAAATTTTCATTTTCCACTTTATTTAATCTCACTCCTGGGTCACTACTTTCTCTCTTTGTATTCAGAAGCTCTGCTTCCACTTTTCCATTATCAACGCTTGTATTTGCGAACTTTTTAACATTCGTATATTTTTCAAGACCTAGAAATTCACTTAATTATTCAAATCTTTTTAGCAATTTGGTATCACTCTGAATTCTTTGAATTTTTTTATTCGAATTCCATTTCTTATGAAATTCTTTGCTAACTTCATTTTCCACTTTTTTATGGATTTGATGAAATTTAATAAAAATAAATAACAAAGTTCAAAATAAAATTTTAAAGTTTAAAAAATAACAAAAATTTCCAACTTTAAATTTGAGCCTAATTTTATTACCTGCTTCCAATATCCCATCTCTTTCTCTCTTTAACTCTTTGGATTCATCAGAGGACATTTCTTCCAGTTTATTAAGGACATTCGTCAGATGCTTATTTTTGAATTCCAGCTCTTCGATTTTTTTCGACTGTTCGATAATCTAAACGAAGAAAAAAAAGCCATTTTCTCCAAAAATTTGAAATAAAAGAACAGTGACAAGATAAATTGCAGAAACAATGAGAATGAATCAGTTGACCAAAAAGAATCAAAGAAGAAAAGCGAATAAATAAATATTAATTAAATAAATAAATAAATATTAATTAAAACAGCTTAAAATTTAAAATTTAAGCTTATTAAAGTTGTACTCTTTTTGATAATAAAAAGTTGTACTTTCCTTGATAAGAACCTTTTCATAACAAAAGTCATGAAATTGTACTTGGAATTTTTTTCAACTTCATAACAAACATAATTTGAAAGAAAAATTTAAACTTGAATACCTCGCTTCTTAAAGTTCGGCCATCGTTGCTCCTTTTAGTTACCGCTTCTTCAAACAAAAATTTGAAATCATCCGATTCCTTTTCTTTTAGTTTCCTTAAATTTTGCTCGTTTTCCTGAAGAATTTTAATTTGGCAATTCAAGCTATGTTTTAAACTAAAGAAATAAAGTTTTCTTAAATTAACCAAATTTGTAGAAAGAATCTGGTTCTCCAATTTTAGAACATCGGAAATTTTTTTTGTCTCAATTAGCTGCTCGTGGGCAATATTCAGTTGATGCTAAAATAAATTAATTTTACTGAAAATTTCTTACTCTAATGCTAATCTTCTCTCTAACTCATATTTACTCTAATGCGTAAGGAAAATAAATCAATCGGAAAGGAACAATAAATTTCCTGAATTCAAATCCACACAGCTCAAATTAGATTTATAACTATATACAATATTTTACAGCAATTTTAAATCTACCGACCAAGAAACAGAATTTCTTTCAATAAGCAAAATACCTTCATATCTTCAAATCCCGGAAAATTCTTTGTTTCAAAAGGATCTAATTTCTCCTCTATGTTCTCAGCCATGGATTCCAACTGAAAGTTGGAAGAGATGTAGCAGAAATTATTTAGATGAGAAATTTCTTTAAGAAAAAATTGTGAAATTTATTTTGAGGATATCAATTTTAATAAAAAATTGCACCTTATTAGCCAATCTTTCCAATTCCCTACGCATTGAATAGCAGTTTTCGCAGAGACGTGATGTATTGCAGTATTCTTCATTTATAAGGAAAGAAAATTCGTCAGCACAACTACGTGCATAATAAGCCAATTCAGATGGTGATGATGGCAATTCTTTTTCTTGGAATGGTACCATGCTTTTCCTTGTCGACAATGTCAATGTTTGACGGTGCTTTGGAGCTGAAATAAGACAATTCCAAAAAAAGTATATATTTTAAGTTGACTTTACCTAAAAATCTATTAATTTGCGATATTATTAATGAAGAATTTTCCAAAAACAAGTGAATTCGACTTATGATTGGAATTTAAACGCCGAAACATTTGGAATAAATATTTTTACCTTCAAACATCTGCTCAAATATATGGGGAGTTCCTTTATTTTCTTGAGCTTCCTCGACTATATCTGATGATGGAACGATTTCACTGCTTTTTAGGTTTTCTAGAGGAGTAGGTACAGAATTCACCTTATCCTTTTGATCAGATACAAATGAAAAGCGATTATGAGATGTCACGGCAGAAGCAATGTTTTCAGCATCATAATTATTTTCAGAAACAGATTCATAGAATGACACAAAACACGTTTGTAAAAAATCTGAAGGTTTGAGAGCTGTCACGATGCTTTCTCTGCCATTCTCATTAATTTCAGCATTAAAACCAATCTAGAAATTACATCTACTTTTTTAAAAAAAAGCTATGCAAAACTGACTAAAAAAATAGAAAAAAAAATTAGCAAAAATTTTTCGAGATTGAAAGTTTTAAAAAGTTTTAAAAATGCATTGAAATATGCGAAATCAAGTTTATCTTCTGTTAAGAAAAAGGATGGGAAGATGTATAAACAAATAGACGGCACGCGTATATTAAAAGATAAATATATAGTGATATATTTTAAAAAGGTGCCACATAAAAGAGAAAATTTGTTCATTGAAAGATATTTTAAACCTCTTTAAATGTGGAACCGTCCTTAAATGAAATTTCCAATGAATCAGTATTACTGTTGAATTTAGCATCGCCATTCATAGATAGATCTGTCGCATTAAGATATTGATTCGATTTTATCAAGTTTGAACACTGAAAAAAATAAAATTATAAGAAAATTACTAAGAGTTTTGATAATTTTAAAAAATATTTTCACAAAATTCTGTAGTAAGTTGCTAATGAACATAGAAAACCTACCTTTAAACTTCAAATATTTATAATGAAATAATCCTTTCTAGCAAAAAAATACTTGTATTGAAGAAGACGGTTGCGCAACAGAATCTTCACGCAATGAGGCATCAATGTGAGGATCAGCAAGCAACTTCTGATATTCGCAACTGCGCTTAAATTTATAAAAAATACTTCAAATATTTAAATTTTTCAAAAATTGGTTCCTCGTATAACATCCCAAAACAATCAGGTTTTCCACAAAACTTGAAATATTTTTTGGATTATTTTATATTCTTGAAACATTTTTGAAATGATTCATTCAACAGATAATGAAATATGAAGTATTGAAATCTTAGGTTAGCTTAATTTATTATCACAGAAAAAAATATGAATTAAAAATATAAAAAAATTTAAAATTTAAAAATTTTACAAAATATATATAATTTACGAAAAATTTTCAAATTTCCCAATTTTCTTTTCTTTTTCAGCGAAAACTTTTTCTCAAAAATAAGAATATAAAATAGATGAAACGAATTGAAAAGAATAAGTTAAACAGCATTAAAACCATTTATAACATGCGACTAAACTGCATTATTTCACGGAATCAGCAAGAACCCATCAAAAGACGCTTATAAAAAAGTAAAAGTCAAATTTTCGTTTAAATTGCCAAATAAATTTATAAATATTTAAAAACCTTTTTCATAGATATCGGCGGCGACATAAATCTTGACGGACTCGATGAGGACATTCGTTTTTCCTAAAATATTAAATCTAAAATATTGAATCATTTTTTCTAACAAAAAATAAGGTTTTTTGATTTATTCTAGCATTAAACCTGCAGAAATTGAGAAATGAAAAAGAAAAAATTTAGTTGAGTCACTAAAAAAAACCATTTACTAAATTCGTCCAATATTATATACTATAAACTCGCAAAAAAAAGGTGCCTAAAAAGAATACTTTCGGTTTGGTCCTCGCATCATTTGATTTATTTCCGGAAGAAGACATAATTGATATATTTCTGAAAAACCTTCACCTAATTCATTTATTAAAATTCACTAATATATCTAATAATCACAGTATCTGTTTGCATCAATCTTTTATAGCTATTTTTTTCACTTATTCGAATTTAAATTTCCCCATGATATTTTTCTTTATTGCTTAGTATATATACAAGAATTCCCAAATCTCCCTCTCACTCCCTATGGAGGTGCAGGCCACCCTGAACCTTGGGCCTGGGAAATTGAGATAAGGCAAGTAAACTTTAAGATAGTCATATTAATTGCCCGCCTTACTTATTACCCTATTCCGTAAACGCCCCAGGCTGAGAGATATGCACAAAATCCCTTTCTTTTCTTTCTTGCTTACCCTCAACTTTACTTCCTTTACCAGAGGCCTGAGAGCTTGTGCATGCAGTATCTTAGCTGTTTTTAGCGGCTCTTCTGGACAGCGACCTCTTCTTATATTGTTCTCGAAACATACTGAAGTTCTCTAGTTAAGGGTAGCCCTTCCTGATTCTATCACCACCGGGGCTATCTTCAATCACATTTTATATCATCTCCTCTTTCAAGCTCTGATATTTCTCTAGCTTCCTTCTTCGTTATCACTTATCAGCATCGATAAATATTGCTATGCATCATCGATGCTGACTTTTGTCCTTCCTTACTGTCACAGTATTTGATTTCGTGATTCGATTGTCAATAATTACCGGGAAAAGTCCTATGAGACCTCGGATAATTAAAGCAACAACGCTTTCATTGAGCGAAAGCCGGGAATTCTTTTAAAACTTATTTTGATAACTATGATAACGGCGAATCCACTTCAAAATTACATAAATATATTAAAGTTGTTAATTATAAATAATTATTAATTATTAAATAAAATTATCAATAAAATAAATAAAAAATGGGACAAATAAAGAAAAAAACCAACCACTTAAAATTCAACAGAATGATATTCCACATCTTTAATTTTGAAAAATCAAGTTTAGCCGCCAAAATTACATTATTATAAATCAGCTCGGCTTCAAAAAAAAGGATAGTCGAAGTGAAATATGCAAATTAGTATTTTATATAAAAAAAAGGGTACCATAAAGTTTCGTTAGCGAGAAGTGAGACGTCACGTTGGTTTCATGATGAATACGTAAATACGTGAGGTAGAGGACCTACTGGTTGTTCTACGTGAAGTAAGTCAGACAGCATCAGACAAAAGCTGTATGCGCTGATTTGCTGGTATTTGTCATGGCTGCGCGACATTGGAATAGCCAATAAGCAACGAGGTAGTTCAGATCCACATTCACGGCTTATCTGTGACTGTTCGGCTATAGAGTCAGTTTTTTTTGAAGAAAGAAATTGCTGTGAAATGATTTGTCGCTTCAAACTGAGTAATTCGTGCTGAGGTTCATATTCATTTTTACATTTCGCTGTTTTCAACGTGATTCCTACTAATTAACAATTTAAAATCCGAGGAATTGGTGAAAGAGGCAAAAATTTTTTCGAATCAGTTTGACCAACGCGGAACTGAATGCTATGCAGTTGGCATCTTTAATGGATTATTAAAAATTTACAAATTCTTTCTATCTTCTATCTTCTCCGGAAAAAAAATTCAAAATTCTATGTTACAATCTTCCAAGTCCATATATTGCTGGTCCACCTATACTATATCAGTCCAAGTCTTGATTGGTCCACCTCGCTTCTGACGCCACCCATCACAGGGTCCAGCAACTAACAACTCTTGTGGTGGATGACGAAAAATGTGCCCTAACCAGCGAAGGCAACAATCTGTGATGGTGTTGTTAACATAAGTGGAATTTGAACGAGGGTGGATGCCATCATTACACATATTACACATTCTTAGACATGAATGGTCAAAGACATGTGACTTATCAATATCCTCCATTACCGTTGGCCATGTCAACTATATAGCAAGAACGAGCGAATTGAAGCTATATCGACGAGAGCTTTTGTGTTTATAGCAACGATACTATAAAGGCTTCGTTAACCGAAAGGATGCTTTCTAGCTACTAGTTAATAGCTAGTAGCTAATAGTAATAAATATTAATAAATAAATTTTCTATATCTCAGTAGAGCAGTTGGACGAAACGACCGCTAACTAATTACGCACTCTAAGATTGAGGTAATAATGATTAGTTCAACGAATAAGTTTACTACAGATTCGAAAATTTGAATCTTGTTCGTGACGATTTGAAAGATATGCTTGCACGGTTCTAAGAAAAATCCACCGCTAATTGCAGAATTCGAATTTGTTGCCATCAAACCATTGCCACTGTAACTGGCCATTAGGACGTATTCATAAGACATAAGGAATAGGCAAATTTTTAAACCAAACAAAATCCTTCTTAAAAGAGAAAGAAAAGAGAAACTTATTATTAGTCTTCGCTTGTTGGAAGAAAAATCTCCTAGGAGGCGCTTTGGACTTTTCACCATCGTCGTTGTTGTAACTTTTTTCGTCAGATTACTCATTTGTTCATTTGCTAGTCATAAGCGTTGCTTTACCGCATTGCTTTAAAGGCCAGGATACCTCAAATCTTCGGTGAAATATAAATTAAGAGAAGAAATGAGATTATTTAGATTTCGTTTATGACTAGCAAATCAGTGTATTATCTGCAAATAATACGAAACTATTTTCACTACTGCATTATTAGGCGCACTGATATTTTAATTTAATTTGTCGGCGAATTGGTGCCATGGTTAAAGTAATTGTTTTACTTGTCAGCACAGTTATCACAACACAATTGCCGCGATTCATGGATTCAACGCTAGAATTCGTTCTTATCACAATAATTTATGCATTTCACGCAGATTTTGCTTATCGTATTACACCATAGTTGTCTGTGGCGAAAAAAATGATTTAAGAATTACTGCACCAAAACAAAATTTTGTTTTTAAAATTTGATGTCTTCTTAAAGCCATATTGATTCGCCGTTAGCGACATTATCTGAAGCCTTTTTACAATTTAATCCTCAAACTAAGTTAATATCTCATTTCTATTTTGTTCCCTTAATACTCCATCGAATTTCGCACTTTTGCCATAAAAAATTGCAAATTAAAACTCAATTTATATGAGATAGGATCATGGTGAGAAAGATTATTAAAAAAAGTATAGCTGGACTTTGATTTTAAAGAGAATTATAGGAAAAGTATAGAGAATTTTAAAATTATAGTGCATCAAAATTTGAAAGGCTATTGGGGGACACCATTGGTTTTAGGGATATATCAAGTGTGCGAAGTTAGAAAAAATTCTGCCTCTCCTATGATATGCTTTTCAATATTTCATCAAATTTATAAATTAAACTGAGAAATAATGGCGATTTTTTTAAAGTTATACGATGATAAATTTCTTAAAAAAAAATTTTGCACGAAATAGTACCATACCTTCTTTCATAACAACACTCACCACTTCCGATGTGGATGACTTGATTAATTCCTAAAGTGGAAATCACTTAGGGGTGGAGGTACATGCGACCGGATTTTACACATTGCGACAAGTTTACTCCAAGATCCGAACGCATGGTGCTTGATAGGACTAATCCATCTCTGTGTTTTATTATTTTCACCAGAATACCATTTCATTCTGAAGTTCTGACTGATTAGGTAATTCTTTCAAAAAAATTTTCGTTATCAAATTATGCGATTATATTAAACTAGTTCTAACGGAGAGCATCATCACTCATTATTTATGTACCAAGATTGCATGTTGGTGAAACTAATGATTTTGGTCCGTGGTCTTACCATTGTACTCTTTTTTTTCCGAAAGCGACAATGACAGCTGCTTTCACATTAACTTTTATTTTTGTTATATTTCACAAATGTCGACTAATATAATTATAATCTGCGATCCTTAACATTTATTTTATCATTTTCTTTATCAAACAATCAATACGATGGAGGTTCTCATCGATTATTTCCCATATTATTTAATGTTTTAAAAAAGTCTTTTGAATTCATAGATTAGATTTTCTTAAAATTCTTAAAATTCAATAATTTTTCTCAAAAACATTTGTTACATATTCTCTGCAAAAGGAAAAAGGGGAGTTTGTTAAAAATTCTTTCCAGCTAAATTTGTAAAAAAAAGCAGCTCTGGTGATGATTACAGTTTTCAGGAATTGAATGATGCTACGCCGTTATTTTTGCACGCTCACTGTAAGTCTTTGAGGTTTTTAGCATGATTTCTTTCCCTAAAAGCAATTACCATTTCTGAGTCAGCTTGCTCTATTCTGCGGTGCTTTAGATGACCGATTAGAGTACTACTTGGGAAAAAAGGTCTTGTGAATTTTATTGTTTATCGCAGCAACCACCTCGATTTTATTCTTGATGGCAGACCTATTTCTGTTAAGAGACTAAAACCAAGCCCATATTGCCTTATCCTAAGTCGAGATTCAGCCTGTGGTTCCATCTTGGTACCATGTATTATAGTCATCACATAAAAAATAGCAATAGGACCTGTAATGAATTTCAGTAGGTATAATCAGTGATAACCCTCAATTTCCACGCTATTTTATGTGAAAACTACTTTTTATATGAATGGTTCATATTTATTTTACAATTTAAAAAACATATTTAGATTTTACGAATTTTTTGTGAATGTTTATTTAGCAAACTGGTAATGGCATATATTCGAAACGTTTATTTTCTAACTCTCAGATAAATCTTGGTGCAGGGAAAGTCAAAATGTGGATCGGTGGTCGGGCTATAGAGTCTCAGACCACAGAATGGATTGATTTAACTAATCCGGTAAAGCCAATTTAAATCTTATTAAATGGTTTTTCTGATTTTAATTTGATTTTATTTTTTTAATTTTTGCATCTTTATAGAGTTTTTTTGCTTTTATTGACATATTATAAAATGAATGAATTAAGCTTATTGAGCTTATTATTAATATGAATAGAATTGATATATATGATGAAGAAAAATCTGCATATGCGAGGAAGAAAAGAATAATAGTTAAAATAAACTAATTGTGAATATTAGGCGACGAATGAGGTGATTGGCCAAGTACCGAAATGTACAAAGGCTGAAATGGAGATGGCAGTAGAGTCTTGTAAAGAAGCATTCAACAAGTGGAAAGAAATATCGATACTAAACAGGCAACAATGTATGTTCAAATTACAGGTAAACATGAGTTCCATTATATATTTTGCCGTTTTGCATTTTACCGTTTCTGGTTAAAATCACATTGCGGGGCATTAAAACGAAATTACTTCGAAATGAATCTCCAGCATTGCCCGAATTTTTTCAGTTGCAGGTTTATTTCTTCGAGGAGCACCACGTTGACCGAAATAATCTAGGTAATACACCACTCGGCTATACTGGTTTAAATTAGAAGTTATAGATGGGTTTCCAATAAAGTGAATCTTTAATTTTTCTTTCTAAATCTTATCTGCTGCATTAAAAGCTCATTTAAAAGATTCTCTCGTTCTTATAAAATCTCGCACACATGAGTTTTTAATTTAGCATTTAATATTACAAAATATGAACAAATTGGCTGAAAATATAACTCAAGAAAATGGCAAGATTTTGTTTGAATCAGAAGGTGAAATAATTAGAGGTTTACAGGTAAATTTTCTAAATTCTTTTCCTTACCAATCTTTCGAGTATATTTTTTTTCCAAGTTTGATTAAACATTGATATTTATTTGATTAAACATTGATATTTATTTAATTATTGAAGAATAATCTTCGATCGGCTCCATTGAAAAAAATGTTTTTTGATCCTTTTATTTATTTGGATAAAAATAGTTCAGACTAACATATTAGCTTAAAAAACTAAAAGCTCATTACTAATTAAAAATCATTACTAGTCCAATTTGATAATACTGAAAATCTAATATTAAAGAATTTTTTCTCTTTTATGGTTTGAGAATTTTAAAAGAAGAAGCTTTCAAATTGCCGGAGATTCGAAATGAAATATTGTTCGAAATACTCGAAATATATTAAACGAGTATGTGATTTTAGGTTGTGGAACATGCATGTAGCGCTCAGTCTCTTCAGCAAGGTGAATTCTTGCAGAGGTACTTTTAGTACTTTTATGAAAGAATGTATTTAAATATATTTAAAAATATTTTTATCCGTCCCATTCTTTTTTTAAACTCATTTCTCTTTTTTTGGAATTTATCAACATTAGTCTTAGGCCTAAACCTATTCTTTGAGTTGTAAATTCAGCATTGCTCGAGATTTGGATACAATGAGTATGCGAGTGCCACTTGGTGTTACGGCTGGTATTACGCCATTTAATTTTCCAGCAATGATACCACTTTGGATGTTTCCTTTGTCTTTAGTTACCGGTGCATATTTTCGTACTCATATTTTTTTTATGTTATGTTTTTAATGTTTAAAATATTTTTTTATTAAAATGTTTTTTTAAATTTTTGAAGTTTTTTGACGCTTGGTACTAATTTTTTAATTCTTTTTTTATTTTGTTTTTTTTTCCTCTAATTCTAGTTCTTATCCTATTTAATTTGATTAGCTTCCCTGGTCATTAGACTATTGATGTGCTTTCATCATAGAGTCAGTTGAGGACAAAGGCATAGCTACTATTTTTTATCGTTTCTTCAGTCGTTCCGAGGTAAGCAGTACTTCTAAAAACTACTAATTAATTGTTAAGTAAATTTTAAATGAGATTATATTTTCAGACGTATTAAATGACAATCACAAATTTAGGCAACACAATGATCATGAAACCTTCTGAGCAGGATCCTGGAGCTTGCCTTCTATTAGCCAAACTTGTAAAGGAGGCAGGGATTCCTGATGGCTGTTTCAATATTATTCACGGTCAGCATGATGCAGTCAATTTCATTTGTGATCACCCAGAAATACGTGCAATATCATTCGTTGGTGGTGATCGAGCGGTTTTTTTAATTCCTTTGCTGATAAGAAACCAGTCTTGTAAAGATGGACTTATAAATATAATGGGACTACATCTAGGCAAGCTGTTCCAAACGCTTATGGTTTATGATCGTTCCTGATTTAGGGGCGTAAGAAAAGAGATAGTAAATTTCGCCACATTTTTATCACTTTAGTCACTAAAAAGGTCACTTAAAACTTTCATTTGCTGAATATTTTGAAATTGGATACTCATCATTTCTTATTTGGTTAATATTACTGGTTATAAAGTTGAAACTCTTTTTTCAAAGATCCATTTAGGAATACTACATGGATCTGATTTGAAATTACTGCATAGATCTATAAACCAGATCAACTAAATTTTTTTAAAATCGATCATAATTTGACTTAGAATGATTTATATTTAAATGAATTGATAGAAAATAAAAAAAATTTAATCAATTAATAACAATGAATTTATGACAAAAAAAAAAGCCGTAAAGTATTTAAGTAAATCGATTAGTAAATAATTTTTATCTTCGTTTGCTTCATTATTTTATTCAGGGAAGGCATATTTTTGAGCGTGGAACATTGAATGGAAAAAGAATTCAATCGAATATGGGTGCTAAGTGTCATGGAATTATCATGCCAGATGCGCACAAAGAGGGACTTGTACGGCAGGTAAAGAATGTTGTAGATATTGTAACGCTTGAGTTACGCCTTCTTATAAGATATTTATTTCAGCTTCTCTCTGCTTCATTTGGTTGCAGTGGACAACGATGCCTTGCTTTATCAACAGCAATATTTGTTGGCAGAGCTCAAGAATGGATTCCAGAGTTAGCTAAAGAAGCCAAGAAGTTCAAAGTAAATGCAGGTGAATAAAGCAAAAATAAATACGCTACAATTTGCTGTTCATTTTTGTTCAAAAGTTTTTAGATTTAATTTGCTCTATAAGTTAAAAGTTAAGAAAGATTTTTTAGGTTGGAAACCAGGAACAGATTTCGGGCCATTGATCTCACGTGCGTCAAAATTGCGCTGTCTTGAACTAATTGATTCAGCACGCAAAGAAGGTTGCCGAATCTCAGTGGATGGTTCAAATTGTTCTGTACCTGGATTCGAAAATGGTAACTTTGTTGGGCCAACAATTCTAGAAGGAGTGCAACCACATATGAGATGTTACAAAGTTATTTTTCCATTTTTCCATTTTATTTAGAATATTATCGTAGCAATCTAATTTATTTGATCCTGCCAGTTAATAAATAAAAATCTTTTAGGAAGAAATTTTTGGTCCTGTGTTATGTGTAATGACAACAAACACACTTGACGAGGCCATCGATATTATTAATAATAATCGTTATGGTAACGGAACAATTCTATTTACAACAAATGGTGCAGTGGCTCGAAAGTTTATCCACAGAGTCAAAGTTGGCCAGGTAAATTAATCAAGTGCAATCAATCAACGATCTTTAAATCGATTTTGGTAGATCAATTTTCATTTCTTTCCTATATTTTTATTCTTTTAACGTTTATTTTATAGTTCTTAAGAACATCGATTCTTATATTATCTTATCGGAAAAATATAATTTGATTTTTTCTTAACTTTAGATTGGTATTAATATTCCAGTACCACTACCTCTTCCTATGTTCTCTTTCACTGGAAATCGCGATAGCTTCTTAGGGGATGTAGTAAGTTTCATTATTATTGCAATGTTTCCATTAATTTCATTATTTCCACGATATGATGATGCAATATTAAAATTGAATTCGTGATACATGGCTGAATGATAGCTCAAGTTATATACCTATGATTTTGCTTTACAGAATTTCTATGGCAAAGCTGGAATGAATTTTTATACAGAATTAAAAACAGTCACACAGCTATGGCGAGAAGTCGATGCTGAACAAGGATACATAGATTCTTTCAATCTTCACGAAAAGTCTTAATAAAAGTCTTGAAAATTTTTTTCGTGATTTTTTGACTCGAATTGACTTTAACCAGAAAATAACCCTTTATTGAAAATTTTTGTGAAACTTTTAAATTTGACTTATTTTGTCATTTCTTAATTTTTTGTGTAAAATGTTTCTATATAAAAGGTTCTCGGTGACTTCAGTACGAAGAACTTGGATAGCTGTGGCAAAATAAAAAAAAGTTTACGAGCAGTTTTGGCTTTAAATTTATGATCTATGAATTTTCATTGAAAGTAACTGAAAATAGAAATTTGCTAAAAAATTAGTCAGTAAACGCGTATTGAAATAACCTACCCAAATATGGCTAAGATTCACCGTTTCCAGTTGTGCTCCACTGGATTTACCACTGTTGGAAGTTCTACTAGGAATTTACCTTGGGAAGAAGGTACAAGTGGATCATTCGAGTTTGCGCATTAGGAATGAACGAAAAATGATAAATATAAAGATATTGTTCGGTGAAAATGGGGCTTTGCATTTTACATGCCTCGACAAAAAGCAAAAATCGTATTCATGCTGCTTTTGATTCTCATCACATCGAAGCAACATCTTAAATTTTTTTCATATATGAGTTTGTGAAAATGCAGATATGTTTCTTCGGTTGCAATCAGGTTTCAAACAGTTTTTCAGTAGATGTAAGTTTTGTAATAAAAGCGTCGCTTTTTTATAACATCACAGACGAAGATCATCTGGCTTTAAACCAGTGATTTTAATCGCCATAGCAACATGCAGCATTTGCCGTATTTATCCAGTTGTGGATCGGTGAAATTTTTGCTTTCTACTTAAATCAATTTCTGGTTTTTGGCGATGATAACTTCTCAAACTGTAGGTTAATTTATCAGCTAATTAATAATTTATCACATAAATTTATAAACGTTCAGTTATAATATTAATTTAGTTAATTTGCTTGCATTATGAATCGAATATTTTTTTTAGCTTTTAAGCAGCTATAAAAATAAAAACAAAATAAAATAAAATGATAAATTATCTGGCATTAATGAAAAATTACACTGTTGCTTTCTTCTTCTTTTAACAGCTGGTTAGATTGGCTGCGCTGGCTCTGTTTCCAAGCTATTCGGTCCAACGCCATCGTCAACGCCACAGCAATAAAAGTCATTCTTTTTTCATTACCCATTTTTCTAAATCCATATATCGCTGGTTCATCTATACATTCAAAATCTTTCCTGACTTTATCAGTCCATGTCTTGATTGGCCCACTTCGCGCTTGACGCCATCCATCACAATGCTTACCAAGTAACGAAATATCTCTCAACTCCTGTGGTGAGCGACGAAAAAAATACCCTAACCAGCGAGATGATGGTTAATGCAAGTAATATTGAACGAAGCTGGATGTGCGCGATTTTATCTATTCGGCGAACCCGTAAAATGTACCTTAGATATGAGTGATCAAAGAAAGATCCACTGGCATATCTTCTTAATATTTTCCACTCTCATTGTCCATATCTCACAAGAAGGAGCAAATTGAAGTTATATACGCGAAGGTTTTGTTTTTATAGCGGTTTTTGCGACGCCACTATAAAAGTTTTGTTAATCGAAGGAAATACTTCTAGCCATCGTCATCCGAATAATAACTTCATCTTTTGCTTGGCCATTTGGGATCAAAGTGGACCCGAGATATTTAAATAAAGTCTGGCACTATCTTAATCGATAATGAGTTGATAAAAATAGATATTTTATCACTTTCTTATAAATGAAACGAAAATATTTTCTTTCATATATCAACGTATTCATGGTCCGTAATATGCTCTGGACTCACATCTCTTTGGTACCCACAAGCGATGTCCATTATCCAGTCTACCGCGCATTTGAATATCGTAAGGGAAAGGAAGCAGCCTTGACAGACACCAGTTTTTATTTCGAAAAGATCTAAAAGTTCCCTGTATACATAGACCTGTGCCGACGTACGAGGATAAAATGCCTTTATGAGTCGAATTGAACTCCACGGAAATTCCTTCAGTCTCCAGAGTGCTGACAATTGAATTGAGACAAGATCGTTAAAATAAGTGAGGTGTGTTGCCGATATTTAAAGCGATATTCCAATCCTTTTTAACGTGAATATCTGGTCAGTACAATAGCGTCTTGTTTGATTCTAGCTTAGTTAGGGCGCATCTTGCTGTCTCGCACTATCCAACAGGAGGAAAGCAAAAATTTTCTAGTCTATTAGTCTGATTCCTCGATTATTGTCACAATATTCCCTGTCATCTTTCTTAGGAACTGTGAGCAGAATTGCTTTGGTCCAATCATCTGGTATTATTTCTTTCTTCCATATCAGAAAGAACACTTTTTAAAGATTTGAAGAGAAGCTGACGCGGCACTTTTAAGATCGAATCAATCGGTTCGAGCTGGGTTCGATGGATTATTATATATGTATTTAAGAAATTACATTTATTCTGAAGGATGATGGAAGTTATTTAAAGAGTCTGGTCCAAAGGCCATCTCCTCCGGAAGATTACTGGCCTAAATTTCTGGATGACAGGGATCCCTGTTTTACTCACAGTTATATGCCTTGACGAGCGCGATTTAAATATATCCAGGACAGTAAATTGCGTATCGCGGTTAAGCCATTAGCGTTTTCTACTGCTACTTTTAACACCCATGCAGGAAGCCGTTTCCTTTGAGCAATTATCCTGGCTCGAATATTGTTGCACTCAATTGAGATTCATTATCAGTGGGCCATAGATGGTTTCAAAAATTGTGGGACACAGTTTTAAATAACCCACCTTTCAACTTTTGGCACACGTGGTTGTCTTAAAAGTTGCTTACACTTATGGGTTTGATTCCTGACAGGAATAATTTATTAAAGAAATTAAAAGAAATCTCCCTGAAAATCTATCCAAATGAATAAAATGGCAACCAGCCAGCCAGCGATAAGTGAAGAGCCACAAACAGCGTCAAAGGACAATAAAAAAGTCGAATCCAACCTTAATCCAATGTCATCATCCAATACTGCTTCTCGAAAGGCGGAAGTCATTACTTAATTAATTACATCAATTACTTTTCCGAAAACTTTTTATTCCAATAGTTTATTTTAAAATTCAAGCATACTTTCTCCTGCTTTTCATCGCTCGTGCCATTACTAGTTAGCTTTTGTAGAAACGTAGGAGCGAGATTTCATCAGTTGCTTGCTAATTTACTAATTTGTTTTTTTTTCCAGCATTCATCTTTATCATATCAGATTTGTCTTCACATCAACAAAACTTATTCTACCATATTATTTGTTTTGTTGCTCGGAATTTACTTTTTTAAAGGTAATCGATCTTTATCCGCTGGCGTGAACTATGATTTTTGCGAAAAATGACCCTTAAATTTGAAGAATTTAATTCAACACAAATTTTCGTAATTCACTTCACCGATTAACTGCAATAAGTTAAATTATCGCTTTGCAATTTGCGTTCTCCGTAGAATGGTTCGATTTGACTTTTTAATATTTGTTATTAATTGCGAACTAAAAATTATTCCTTTGAGGAAAAATTTCTAAGTAAAATTTAATGGCCATAATCCGAATTACACATTAAATAAATTAAATAAATAAATATTAAATATTTTACAGTATCAATTCTGCCGTACCCAATTTATACACAAATTTGTGAGTTATTGCTTATATTATTATTTGGACCAGTTGAAGCTCTACGCTTATTTTGGGGTTTCATTCCGATTTTATTTCATTTTATCTAAATTTAAAATCATTTTCAGTTGGAACCAACTATAATTTTTTAAAAACCTTAAAACTCCTAATTTATTTAATCGATCGTCCTTTTCAAAAATCCTTCATGATATACCTCTATAACACTAAACTCAAAAATTCATATGATCTATTTTAAAAATGGATTTGATAACAGATATATCGGATTGTTTTAGGAAGAAAAGGTAATTTAACGGAAACACCAGCCTTTATAGCATTTTCGCTATTGTTAAGTGCGGCTGATATTGCACTGTGTATATATTGGGCTATGTTCCAAAGTTACGTTCTTCTTATCGAGTTTATTGTAGTTTGCATTCAAGGTGGTCTTGTGACTATTGAAATTTTGCTGGCAATTATAACTATTACCAGATTTTCCACGTATTCTTTTTTCTTGATTTCTTTGCATCATTTCAAACATTTCAATAAGCAATTCATAAAATAAGGAATTTCAATTTTACAAATTTTACAAATAAAAAGAGAAAAGCTAATTTAAAAGCTAATCGTGGAAATTCTTCGTTATAGCCTATAAATTTGCATAAACTCAGTTATATAAAAAAGAAAATAAAATTTGGATACTTCTGTGATTAACTATGCGAATGGCTTTTTTTTTCAAGATGCCATTAAGAGTTTTACTGTAGTCGTCAATGAAACCGGCGAAACCAGAAATGATGAGTGCTATTAAAATAATCAAGAGGACCAAATATGTGAAATAACATGAAATTCATTGATCCCAGAGTGAACATTCAATAATAAAATGTATTTCAGGATTTAACGGGATCAGGGATGGCTTATAATAAATGACTTTAAAACTTCATTTAACGATGAATTTTAATGCAAAAAGAGGAAATTCCGTACAATTCCACTTCATTATTCTTTTTTTATGAAACAAAGTATTATAAAGGCACTAAAAAGTTTTTTATGTAGAATTTTAATTTTATCAAATTATTTCTCTAAAATTGTATAAAATGCAAAATTTCTTAATTGGCAAAAAGATTCGTCCGACTATATGATATTTTCTATAAAATAATTTCATTTGAACGAGGTGCAATTATTTTTTTCTTTTTTTTCGAATATAAGTTAATTTTTATAAAATCTAAAGTAGAGCACTCGAATTACAAAAAAAGCCAACGAAAATTTTCGTAACGTCCTCCTCTTTACCAATTTATTTTTGATTTTCGATATTATTCAACCCGTTTTTCGATTCTCAATATTTCGTAGATTTCGAAAATTTTTTTATTTGTTAAAAATTTATTTTTTTATTTTATTTGTTAAAAATTTAATAAAGTCTTGGCGCTCTACATTTTTTGGTTATGCTCGTTCTATTGCATTTGATTGCAAATTTTTTATCAGAAAATCAGTTATTTAGCGGTGGAAGAGACGCTAACACGGATTTTTCAGGCTTCGGCAGCACAAGCCAAATCCTTCTATCAGCACGATAATCTAACCATTCGGCCATCTTGCTCCCAATATAAAAATTAAGAAAAGCAAACGATCCAACCATAGAGAGAGCTTTGATATCAAAAGATAATTTTTGCCTCACTTTTTATAACTAAATTCAGTGTATGAATAACGATCATTTATAGTATAATAACTGCTATTGAATATGTGGAAACAATTTTAATTTTTTTTTAATTTAATGATAGCTTTTTCGCTATTTTACTTTTTAATCGCAAAATTTGAATCGAAATTCGTGAGTTTTTTTTCTACAGCATTTAAAAAACTGATTCATTTCAGTTTGTCAGTTAATATTTCCTATATGGTATTTTCTTGGTTTAATTTTTAGTAATTTCTTCTAATTCCTTCTTTTTATCTAATTAAATTTATATTTAAATTCTGATTTGGTAAAATTTAAAAAAATATTTTATTCATTGCCTGTTATTATTTTTATATCTATTAAATTGTTTTAAAGTAACTGGTAAACATTTTAAAATATATATTCAATTGTTTGAGATTTTTAGCAAAAATATTATAAATTTTTCAAAAATGGAAGTTCTTTTCAATTACCCTTTTTATATGATTATATATAATTTTTTTCTGAATTTATTATCAGAAATTATTTTTATTTTTCAATAAGAATTTGCTTCAGAAGTGGTCTTTCATTTATCGCTTGCATTATAATATTTTGTAGAGAGTTTTTTAGAAGAATATTTTGTAGAATATTTGATGATGCTAGTGACCTAGGTGTCCACAAGGTTGAACTCTTTCGTGCCCCAATAGTTAAAAAAATTAACTAAACCAAAAGTGCTATTTAGAATTTTAAGGATGTGGGTTTCAGGAAAGAAAAAGGATGTGGCATTGTTTTGTATAGACATGTCTTGCAAAATTTCATCCAATTATAAATAAGTGACTACCTTCGCATTAATACTTCAAATCCTCTTTAAAAATATTTCCAAACATTAGTAAAATATTTGCAAAAATAGATATTTGAATAAGAGGCAGGAACGACCTATTTCCATCTTCTAACGATCTCTTGATAGGAGTTACAGAAGTCCACTGCGTTAGTCCACTGCTTTATCGCTATCACCAACTCCTAACTTCTTGGCAAAAACTTCCAACAGTAGCAGCTAGCGAAGTTAACACAACCAGAAATAGTGGGCTCTAATTACTTGTTTAATTATTTTATCTTAATATTTAATAATAGATAAATTAATAAAATTGGATTTTGTTATTAATAAAATACTTCAAAAATCGAAAAAATTTTTTCATAATTTCTTTTTCAAGAAAAATTTTCGAAAATAAATGCAATAAAATATAAGGAATAAAAAAGTATTGCAAATATTTAAGGGAGATATAACCTTTTTTAAGATAAATTATACCTACAAATATTGATATTAAAAAGTTTATAGAGTATATAAGTATGACAATAATTAATCAGACTGAGCCAAGCCAAGCTGAATTAAGGAAAGGAAAGGAAGACTATAAATGAAATAATGAACTAGTAGGAGATGAAAATTTAATACATTGTTTACCATCTTTTTTTTTTATAAAAATTTCATGTTTCATGATTGCCATTAATTATTACTTTTTAGGCAAATTAACATTCATCGAATGATCGACAAATTCCTGTTTTTTGTAGTTTTATATGAATTAATTAAAGGGTGAATTTTTTCCGCTTTTCCGCGAAAATATAATTTCTTAATTGACGACAATTTTCTTTTTTGCTGGAAAAATCATTGCTAACAAAGCAAAAAGATGAAAAAAATAGGCTCAGAAAGATAACTGATAACTGATTTATCTAAGGTCGGGAGCAACTGGTGTGATTACTATGCTTAGTTCTTAAAGTTTCTGGTTAAGCTCGCTCTGCTGCCTGTTAGTATGGTTAGCAATTTTTTTCAAAACTTGATGATAGAAATACATTATTGTTATTATCAGGTTTACTTCTGAGGAGTGAAGGGGGAGGGGGGGGATGGCAAAAATTGCACGAGCAAAGATTTTGTTTCTCAATAAAGCGACAACTTAAACCACTGACGAACAAGCTCCGGTCTTCCTCTAAAGAGGTGTAGTGCTCTCACTATTGACTCACATGCATCAATTCCCATATGATTATCCGATAAAAGCATTTCATCTAACCAGTCAGTGGAATCACTCAGACCAGAAATCGTGAGTGTTGCTATGTTTAAGGAAAGATTTCAAGAATAATGCACAACCAAAAATGATCCAATAAATAACACCGATAAACATTTAAGATTCTTCTAAATGGACTTCGAATCCCCACAGATAACTATATATAAATATGTACATGAAGCTACGTAAAGTCAACCATAAAGTTATCCAATTTATTAATTTAAAATAGGTTCCGAAGACTACAAAATTCGTATATCTTTTTGGACTTTATAGGCTTACGCTGGACGAGCGAAATGAACTTTTTCGAAAATATAAATATTATTATCCAACAGTAAGACCTGCTGAGCCGCAAAACAGAGTGGCTAATACAAATGGATCATTCTTTGCATTGAACGGTAATCTACAGATAAGGTCAACTTTACCTTCAACGAATGTGAGTTTTTTGGAATTTCTGAAATTATTGGTGATTCGTATAAATGACTTCGATTGTAGCCTTCTATTATTTTCTCAACCCGTAAGGTCTGAAACACCATGAAATTTGCTTAGAAAAATTGGAAAAAAATTTTAATTCGTTTATCAAACAATCTGCTGCCTAACAAAAGTAGATAACTTGGAATAACACAAGTAAATTGGCGCAGATTTTCTCGGATTTTTAAACTTGTCGAGAAATTTTTCTGGTCCTATAGGAAAAATCATATACATGCTCATATACATATACATGGAATTTGTTTAAGGAACATTTATATCTCGACTTCTTTCTGATAATAAATTTCAACGATGACCGCCTTATTCTTCGAGAATTGAAATATCGCTTTCAAATACCGCCTGAATTTAGGCCGTGGGTGCCGAATATTTCAACAATTCCCAACTATCCTTTTCAAATCTCAAATTTTCTCGATCCACGAAATGGCGAGATTATTATGCTGAACAAGTAGGACTATAATGTATAAAATTTGTATAAAATTAAAATTTATTTTAGAAAGATTGGACTGATTTTATTTGAATAAACTATTTTAAAAGTGATTAAAAAAAAAACAAAAAAATTCACCAACTTGAAGAGAGGATATTGTTCAATAGATAAACTGCTCTTATTTCGGGACTCGAGCATTACAATTTTACTCTGGGCAAAAGTGAATTTATGTTTCAAAAATGTGAGCTTTCCAACCGTGTAAACCTGTATCTCTATTCCAAGTGGTTCCTTGCAAAATTTGTTTGGTCTAATAGAGCGAGCTTAATCAGAAATGATGAGCGACCCAAAATGTAGAGCAATAGAACTAAAAACATTTTGAAATTCACAATTCATTAACTTGTTGGCGTAAATCAGTGGTAAACTTAGCTCATTGGTCTAAAAAAATTAATGAAAAAATTTGTTGAGAATATAGATTCGTAGAAAAATTTGCTACTTAGAACTCCGACTTCCAAATCGTCCACTGTTGTATTTATATTATAGATTCAATTACAAAATACCTTGCTCATTTGAAATGTGGCAATATCCATTTCACACTTATCGATGTGAGCTGAAAATTACCACTGAAGGGGGTAAGCTTTTTGTAGTTTCAGTAATTTATATTTGGAAAATGTGATCTTTTTACAATGTTCCCGGAAAATCTTACAAGGAAAAAGGTCCAAAACACTAAGCCATTCTAAGCAATTATAAGCCATTCTTTTATTTAAATGGAATTCTTACAATATTGAAAAATTCTAAATTGTTCATTAAATATTTTTATCATCTGTGCCTCTTTTTTTTATGTTCAGACGAACGAATATTTCTTCAAGAGTTAACAGACATTAGATCAAGAACACAGAAGCAAAAAATTTTGCTAAAAATTGGTGAGAATTTTGAATTTTGCTTTTCTCACTGATTATCATGTTATCAAGACAGTTATTAGTCATGTTTAATATTAATATTAAAATGAGGAATGAATTCAAGCACATGAATATGAGCTTCTGCTCCTTGATGCGAATAAATCTTCTTACTAAAAGAGAAATCCGAATACCTCTCTTTCCGAGTGACTCTCATTTGAAAAGATCTCACTTTAATTAGTAAAGTTAGGCCAAGCTAATAATAATGAAATAAGAAGACAACAATTGAAAATAACAATTGTACTATTTTATCCATTATATCCACTATTGGATATAATTTTCAATTATCTGATTTTTCTACTAAATGCAATAATTTTTCAGTTTATTAAAAAGAATATTTCTGAAATACTTTCGCAAGACTGAAATGAAATTGATTAAACTTTTTAGTAAGCAAAAAAATGGATTAAAAGGCAAAAAAATCTCTCTAGATAAATGGCCAGAAATGGTTCTACAATTCGCATATCGTCATGGGCGCATTTCATCCATGATCAAAATTCTTTTCCCGTGTGTTCTTCTTTTTATTGTAACCATTTTTGCACAGTGGAAAAAGCTAAAAGTGCAAGTCTTTATCACAGTAGCATCTCTTCTTGGTATTACAATTATGGTATTCTTTTTTATATTAATAAATTGTATGATGAATGAAGATGAATTAATTTGATCAAATTTAAACTGAACTGGATGAAAAAATCTGAGCTCTTCTTCTTCTTCTTCTAACAGCTCTCACCATTACTGGTTAGGCTAGCTCCAACGGCTACAAGGGTAAGACGCTTCCAAGCGGCGCGGTCTGATGCCATCGTCGACAGTAATGGAAGCCATTCCTTTTTCCATCGTCTAAGTCCATATATTGCTGGTCCACCAAAATCTTTACGTTCAAAATCTTTTCTCACCGTATCAGGTCTTGATTAGCCCATCTCGCTTTTGACGCCAACCGTTACATGGTTTAGCAAATAACGAAATATGCGTCAACTCGTGTGGTGGACGACGGAGAATTTGCCCTAACCAGCGAAGGCGGCGTTCAGTGATAACATTATTTATGCAAATGGTATTTGAACGAAGGTGGATGCGATGTAGTGAGATTTTATCCACTCAGCGAACCCGTAATATGTACCTTAGACAAGAGTGGTCAAAGGCAGATAACTTCTTAATATCCTCCACTCTCATTGGCCATGTCTCAGAACCATATAATAAGATCGAACGGATCACGGCAATATAGATGCGGACTTTCGTTTTTATGGTGATTTCACGACGATTCCATAAAGGTTTCGTCAACCGGAAGAACGCATTTCTAGCTGCCGTGATCCGAGTTATAATATCATCTTTTGCCTGTCCATTTGGTATTAGAGTGGACCCAAGGTATTTGAAATCAGGCACTTCCTGAACCGGCAATGAATTTACAAAAAGAGGCTTTTTATCAGCTCCTTGCACATAAGACGAAAAGGCTTTCGTTTTATTTACATTGATTCTGAGTCCGATTCTTGCTGCAGTTTCTGACACGTTATTTAGTATTACTTGCATTTCGTTATAACTGTCAGCAAAAAGGACTACATCATCAGCGTATTTAAAATCTGTGATACGATGCTCTGGACTAATTCGGACACCTCTTGAGTGCCGACAAGCACTATCCATTATCCAGTCTATCGCATAGTTGAATATTGTGGGGGAAAGGACGCCTGTTCTTATTTCAAAGGAATCTGTCAGCTCCCCATATACACAGACCTGCGCCGACGTGCGCTCATAAAATGCCTTTATGAGTCTAATGATTTTCTCTGGAACACCATCACGTTCCATCACCCTCCAAAGCGCCGCTCTATCAATTGAATCAAAGGCAGCCGCAAAGTCCACGTGACAGTGAGTTGCAAATATTCGATGTTCCAACACCCTTCTAAACGTGAATATCTGGTCAGCACAACCGCGCCCTGGTCTGAAACCAGCTTGATTAGGGCGCATCCTGCTGTCTCGTACTTCCATAAATCTGTTGAGTATCAGGGAAGCAAAAATTTTTGCTGAGACGTCTAATAGGCTGATTCTTCGATAATTGTCACAACATGTCCTATCATCTTTCTTGAGAATTGGGAGCAGAATTGCTTTGCTCCAATCATCTGGTAATATTTCTTTTTCCCATACTAGAGAGTACATTTGTTGAAGGTGTGTTATGAAGGACAATGGACAGCATTTGAAAAGCTCAGCCCGAAGACCATCTTCTCCTGGAGTTTTGTTGGCCTTAAGCTTATGGATAACTGAAATTATTTCTTCTTCTGTTGGAGGCAATTGTAAACGTATGCTTCGGCAAATGTATCAGCTATATCAAGGGCAACAGATGGCGCTTCATGGTTAAGTTTGGCCTCAAAGAATTCTTTCCATCTTATGAGGCGATCATTAATACTTTTAATTAGTACGCCATTGCTGTCTCTTACCATTTCACTGATCGTTCCCCGAGTCATAGTTGCTTTATGAAGAAGGCAGAATAGTTTCCTATTGTCGCCCAATCGAGCTGCCGCCTCCATTCTTGAGACCATGTCACTCCAATAGAGATTTCTGTCCCGCCTTGCCGCTTTCGTTGCAAATCTTCGAAGCACCCGGTAGTCAGGACCAGCTGACATTCGTGCTTTGGCAGCTTTTTCAGACAATTGGACAGTTGCTTCCGATACCCAACTAGCGCACTTCCTACTAGCATGCCCTAGCGAGAAAAAATCTGAGCAAAATTTTTAAAAATTTTATAAGTGAATAATGAGATTCGCTGGCTCATAAATATTACTTCACATGAGGCCTTGTCGTATTTCAGCAATCAACGCGGCCAACTAATACCACATTGACACTGGAAGACCTATGGCTCCTTGGGACTTTCTTACACATCGCCTCGATCTTAATAATCGACTTAATGCTGAGCCGTCGCCCCCAATATACAATATGGTCTAGGAGTCCGAGTGAAACTCTTCAAAAAGGTAGAGATAAATATTATAAGATAATAAATCCACCATTTGAATGAATGAGAAGTCGAAGCGAACAGAATTTTTTCTCACGAAACTAAACATCTAAAAAAATGGAATTAACTTAAGGTACAACAATGAAAAGAGTTACAATAACGAGCTTAAAGGAATCGACAAGGCCGATTCTTGAACATCGGCCACATTTAATCGATTATACTGATCATACAGTACAACAAAAAATCACGAATACCTTGAGAATGAAGCAACAAAAAATCTCATTGGCAATAATTGGCATTTGCTATATTGCATTTATGCTTGCTTATTTTTGCTTCGTATCTTTAGTGATTTTAGAATAAATGGTTTTGAATCCAAAAAATATCTTATACAGAAAATACATTGTGGTACCTTACTGAGGTGTGTTGAGGGTAAAATAGCATAAGTGCTTAAATTGCAACACATTGTTTTTTTTTTGAATTTCAATTTAGTTACCCATTTATTTCTTGAATAAGGCATTCATTAATCTTATAATATATTGTGTTACTTATAATATCTGTTGTTTGGTTACATAATTTTGTATTCTTCAATTAACTGGACCTCACCATTGTACCAAATAAAATTTTTTTGAGTCCATATTAAAATCTAGTCATAAGAAAAATACTTTTGATGAAGTAAAGTAACATGGTACATCTAATTCATGGCAATGTTTATTTGAGGTTATCCGAGAGTTGAAATAATATGTATATCTATATATATCCGATGATGAGGTAACCAGAAACCTGTACTGAAATCCGGGTGATGCTGGCGATTCATCTGCATTATATATATATATATATATAAAATGTATTTATATATATATTTATATATGTGTGGAATAAATATGAGAAGAGAAATACCAAAGACTGAAAGAACTAAAGATGTGGAAAATAAAGGCCAAAGTAATTCCAATGATAATTGGAGTACTTGGAACTGTGGTGGTCTTTAAACTAGAAAAATAGCTTTGGCAGATCCAGGAATAATATTAGAGATCTTTAATTATAAGAGCGCACTGCTACAGCCAAGATGCTGTAAAAACTCTTAATTCAGGTCTCCGGTAGAGGACCCGAGATTGAGGATGACATTTATCAGATGAAAAAAGGGTTTTTTATATATTTGTGTATTAACGGAATGTGATGAAAACAAATGCTAAATTATTTGGCTTATGAATCAGAATATCTAATAAATATCAAGATATCTTCAAAATTCAATTTTGAATCCTATAAATATCTAGATTGATGGGCTTTTTTTCTCTAAAAACGCTTATCAGCTTAGGCTTGCTCCGCTGGCTTGGTTCTTGGGCCAAGCACAAGTGTAGAACCATAGAATAGGCGCGAAATGAAGGTAATAAACCATTGAGTCATTTTATTCGCGATGGACCATATTGTTTGCCTTTGCAAGAAATTCTTCTGTTTTTGACTCCTCAACCTTTTTAGAAAAAGGGTGTTTTAGAAGAATATGGTTCGGTAATGGGTCCACGTTTTCGATGATAATGCTGAAGACTCACCTTTAACTCCATCTTCAATTAAAAGAATCTCACATCAGCCAAACCAGAAATGCGTTCAGTTAAAAGGAGGTCGCATTATTGCTGGCATAATGAAGTTTACAATAACGAATGCATTATATCATAAACCTTCACAAATCTTTATATATATTGTACGTTTAACTCAAGCAATAGACAAAAAATCAAAATTTTTTTTCCTAAAATATATATTTCCATGAATACGATGAAAAAAATTATGATTTTTTAAAATTTTTCTACACATTTAAAAACATTATAACTATTTGTTTATTAATAAGTATTAACAACAACACAGAAAATCATCGAAAAATCTGAGCAATATTTCTAAAGCACCATAAAATTCCTAAAGACCTTTTTGTTCGATGGCGATTTACCATTTAAATGCCTTTATGATATGGTTCTCTGGAAATCGTCGTATGAGAAATTTTCTACCCTGAAAACACGAAAATTTGAACATTTGAGTGGATAAAAAAATCGATTTTGATCATTCAATCAATTTTGATCGTATCACTCAAGGAAATCCATGAATTCATTACTTCATTATAGACAAATAGGGCTATTCCGACTGCAGGTGCAAATAGCCATAAAAATGCAGGCGGATGTGCAACATTCAACCATTGCTGAATGGCTGGTGTATAGATGAAAATAATAAGTAAAAGGATTTCGATGGCGACTGCAAAAATTGCGTTAAGATTATTAAATCCATGCCGAAAAATAGAAGTTCGCCGTGTTGTGCAAGTCCAAAAATGAAGCACCTAGGAATAAAACAATTTTATATTTTATATAAAATTTTACGTAATTTTATGCAACTAAATAAATATGGAAGCAACCGAGCCAGGTGAGAAAAAAAATAAATGATTTTCTCAATCGGTAATTCGAATTAAAAAAGAACAACGCACCTGGGACATAACTAATGTAATATGCCATGCTGCTGTCGCTTGTTGATAAATAGTGACCTGCATGGATGCTGTGAAAAGAAGACCATTGCTTGTTGTAAGATTTAACGCATCAGGATGCCAGTGATTATCATTAGAGAAAAGCAAGTCACGTATCGGTATGTCATATCGCCTATTCGCCGATTGGATTATTGAATTTAAACCACAATTTAAACAAAAATTGGTTAAGATTAATTCATAGGCATATAGCCATTTATAATGGGGATAGAATGGCTCAGTGGGTTGTTGCTCGATGGGGAGCGCCGATGCTGAGGTTCGATTCACTGCAGGAGTAAACCTGTACAAAAATCCGGGTGATGCTGGCGACTCACCTGTATTTCTATCGCCAAGGGACTCCCTGGCATATTGCCCAATGCCACAAGCCAGTGGAGCGAGTTTAACCAGTAATGGTGAGGACTCTTTAAAAAATAAGAAAAAAAAGGCATTTATAATACATGCCTCGAAATTGATCGTTATGCACAGATCGATTAGATTGCAAAAAGGCTCAATATTTAGAAAGAAGACGATCGAGTGGTATGATAAGCCGACTTAGGCAAATTTCGGCCCAAACACTATGGGTTCGAATTCGGCTCCTTAGTATGCATAGATCTACCGCCAAAATTAAAACTTTAGTACATCAGTATCTATCAACACAAACACTATCTCTCTATTAGTTGACTCCCTTTCAAAAGGATCTCTGTTGGTAAACACAGCTTAGAAATGAATTTGATTTGAATGGCAACTGCTCCAGAGGCTCCAAATACTATATTTTGAGTACCTTTTGGATAATAAAGCCGGAAATTTTAAAAAATCTTTGGTGGACATTATCTGAAATGAACTATCGCCGATCTTAAATTTCGATAAAATATATGCAAATAATGAGCAGAATTCTTAGAATAATTTGCAGACTATTAGTGAAACATACCAAAACACTGAAAGATAAGCAAGTACGCAACCAACAGCAATTATATTCCCCGCAATCAAATATGAATAAACAAGCAATGAATTGGAAACAAGTTTAGATGTGGCTTTTCTTGGTTTTATCTTCATAATATCCCTTTCAGCGGGTTCATAGGTCATAGCAATAGATGGTGGTATTTCAGTCACAAGATCGATAGAAAGTATCTGAAATTTTCATTATTTGCGTTCTTTTTTTCTAAATTTTTTTAAAATATTGCAATATATTATATTATTATCTATGTTATTTCGTATTATTTTATGCTCGAATAGTTGAAGAGCTTTTAACTTTCATTTTGGAGCGCCAGTTTCTTCCCAACAGTGAAGCTAGCCAATCATCTGTATTTCAATCGCCAAATGATTTCCTGGCAAAATTTTTCTAACAAGCCAGCAGAACAAGTTTAACTAGAAAGTACAAAAGAAAATAATGTTAAGAGGAAAAAATTTATGCGTATTACTTGTAAGCCAGTGAGGCCAAGTGGCAGGCCGATAGTGAAGTTTAGCAAGACTGCATATAACTCTGGGAGAAGATGAGCCAATGTATAAGCAATTGTCTTCTTTAGATTTCCATACAAAAGACGACCTTCTTCGATACCCTTTTCAATTGTTTTAATATCACTATGGATAAGTATCATATCAGATGCTTCTTTAGCAAAAACACTGCCTGAGAATTGTGAATAAATCTAATAATTATAGCAGTTACAAGTTTGAAAGAAATAAAACTGGCTCCCTAATCAAAGTTGATTATTGTAGTTAGGGCCTGCATTCCGGATTTACTACTAACCTTTCAGTTAGAGCTATTTTTCAGTTTAAATGATGTATTGTCTCGACTCAGTTTTGGCCACCAAAGGCTCGATTCTTTTGAAAACCTCGGAAATATGTCGTTAAAAGTGAAGTGCTAAATATCTAAAGACCTAACTTTTATTCTAAGCTAAATGTACCCAACTATATTTCTATTTTCAAATGAGCCATTAATGGGAAAATTTTCATTGTAACAATCACAATCACTTAAGCCATTTAAACCAAAAATATTGTAGAAGAAGAAGAAAATAAGTGGGAAAATATTAAACCAATAGCATCGATTGCAATGCCGACATCAGCTTTCTTGAGGGCTGGCGCATCTTTGATCCCATCGCCAGTTACAGCTACAACCTCACCGCGACGTTGACATTCCTAAATACTTTCATTCACCACAAAAAAGAAATGGAAGATGCTAGAAAAACTCAGTTTACCTTAACTATTACGAGTTTTTGTTCTGGAGTCGTACGTGCGAAAACCACCGACTGCTGCATTAAAATTGTGTCCCATTCTTGTGGTGTCAGTTTACTTAATATTTCACCATGTATCACTGAATTTTTTAAATCAGATTGTTTGTCTACTCCGTTCTGAAAATGTCCTTTTATTTTTGTAACAATTTTCGTTAATTTCGTGGCTCAATATTTCATCACTAGAAGAAATCCAGCTCGATGCAAATTGAGAATAAATTGTCAATTTTTATAAAAAATAGAATAAATACGAAAAAAGCACCTCAGTTGTTTTTATTAAACCGAATTGTTTGGCAACTGTCGCAGCAGTTGCAGGATGATCACCAGTTACCATAAAACATTTTATACCTGAATTGATAAAGAACCAGACAAATTGATAAATATCTAGGAAGGAATTTTGAATAAAAAACCAAAAACAAAGCGAAGCATTCACCTGCACTTTTTATATTAAAAAGAGATTTAGCGATATTATCTCTTAGTGCTTCTAGTTTAGCTGCCATTCCAAGAAAACACAAATCAAAGTCATGCAGAGTTTCCCATTTCATGTCGAAATTATCACATTTCACAGAATCAAGCTCGGAAAATGCGAAAGCGATGCAGCTATGACCTTCATTAGCAAATTTATCATAGGCTTCCTAAAGGATTTTTACAAATATTGGTGGAGTAAACTTCGTGAAACTTGGAAAAAAATTCAATAATTTTATATTGGTGATAAAAACTTGCAGAAAATTGCTTAAAATGTTCAGCAGTAATGTCCACATCCCCTCCAGAAACCGCGATTCGCGAACACTGAAGTATTAATTCTTCTGGCGCTCCTTTCACGAAAATATAAAGTCTACAAAAATCATATCTTTAATCCTGATTATGCACTAAAAAAGGATTCATTTGCTTGCTCGACTAACTTTTTAGAAAACAGCAATTTTTGAATGAAACGAAAAAAACTAAACACAAAAGACAGTTTTAAACCGAATTATTTTTTTAATAATTTATTTTTCCCATGCAAAAACAAATTATACTTTTCCTCGTCTTCAAGAACTGAATCACTTTTCATCCTTGCAACTACAGCTTGAAATCGTCTTTGACCCGTGAACGGTATTTCCATCAAGATGTCGTATTTTTTTCGAATTTGTTGCACTGATGTAATCTAAATTATTATTTATTTAATTAGTTAGCACTAGTTAAGCAGGTCCTAGCGTTTACAAGAATAAGGATTTGTTCATTATTCGCTTTATCACTCTTATCAGCGAAATCCCATAATAATCATAGTAAGAGAGGAAAGATAGATGGCTTAGATTATCTCAGTGGTTTAAATATTGAAAGGTAAACTTATCAAATCAAGCTTGGTTCTTGCCTTCGGAAGGAGTAAACTTATCGGATCAAGAATTCGGGTCTTGCTGGGTACTCATCGGCATCGCTAACTGATTCCATCCTAACAGCCAGAAGAGCTAATTGAATGTTGCACACTTATTTTCATCAAAAATAAAGAAGTTTAGAAAGATTTCAAAAGTTTTCCAGTGACAACTATAGTTAACTGTAGTTATATTAGAATTACCGATTCTGCAAATTTAAGCAATGCCGATTCACTTGGATTGCCGGTAATATGCTTGTATTGTAGAGCAGCTCGTAAATCAAGCATCTGACCTCGATGAATAGTGAAGAAATCACCACCGCCACTTCCAACATTTCTAAAACCATCACTAATCAATTAAAAAATCAAAAAAATAGCTCAATAAATCATAAAATAAATAAATTATGAAATTATAATTATAATTGACTATATTTTTCCATAAGCATAGCTTAAAATCGTTGGTAAATATAAGTAAAATAATAAAATACTCCTCAGTTGGTTTAATTTTAACTGGATCGAGGAAACGTTGAGATAATTGGCTCCACTGAGCCAAACTTCCCGAACCAATCGATTCTATTTGCGCTTTATTGCAAACACTCATAACTGTGAGTAAAATGGACAGTTGGTCATTAGCAGCGCCCGAAGTAGGCAAAACATCGTATGGTTCCTTCCATTTCTCCTTTATATCTTGAACTGAAATTTGAATGAAACAATTTTCAGCTGCTTTCAATGACTTTTAAATGGCATATCAGTTATCTTTATGAAATTCTAAATTGAACTATGACGATAAACAATTTAAGGACAGACCTAATAAATATCTTCGTAATCATAAAGCGATAAATACTAGCGCAAGTATTAATTGCTATTCAACAAACCAGGCTACTTCAAAACACTATGAATTTAGGAAATACTTAAGATATAGTTGCAAATTATCTGATAACACCGAACATCGGAAATAGTTGAAAATGCTAATGAAAAAATGAAAAACTGTTTTCAGAATATATATTAAAATATGGATGGAATGGTTCAATGACCTTATTTCGAAGCATTGTTGTTTGTGTTTATTTTTGGCAAGAGTAACGCTAACAATCCTTTCAAAAACTTTGGTGGTACTTCGACTCACTTATATACTCGCCAAGCATCTTCCTAATTTTGCCTGGTCTAACAATATAAGTGCAATCAGTACATCGAATTGTTAAGAAAAAATAAACTAGAATATTTTTACCGAATTATTTATAAGGCGACACCTTATCGATCATTGATTTGATCACAAACTCTAATTTTTTCTCACCATTGAATCTTCAACCAGTCCTTTTCTCAAACTCTTAAAGATAGACGCCGACGGATGCAAATATTCCAGTTATTCGCATTTTTTCCATAGTATATGCACATTGAAAACGAAACAAAAATATTAATTTATTACCTTTATGAAACTCCAAATTAAACCACAAATCAGTGACTGTCTTATCGTTTGAAGTAAAAATACCCGTTTTATCGCACATAAGGACAGTGATTGTGCCTAGTGTATCTGCTACATCTAGTTGTTTCATATATAAATTCATTTTAGAGAGCCGTCTCGCAATTATAATTAAAGCTGCACCTAGAGTGATCGATAATCCTGCAAAATTTTTGATTTTGAAGTTGATCTTCATAACAGGATCAAACTTTGATAAAATGGATTATGTCTCATTGCTTTTGGTTAAACTGCTAAGACATTCATTAGTGCACTAATATCATGATTTGTGCAGAAGTTTAAAACCTTTTTCGATAAGAATTTCATCATCTCATGCGAATATTTAGCTGATCTAACCTAGTCTCTTAGTTTTTCGATCTACATTCGTTATTACCATATACGGGTCGTTCTTACTGATTAAAGTTGGATTTTTTACATTCGACAAACCTTGTGGGACATTAGCGACAACAATTACGAGAAATCCATTCACAAATGTACGAATGATATGCTGGAATCTATTGACGGTTAATCCAAACAAAAACGTAGTAACACCCATAATAATAGCAAGTAGATTTATGAATCGAACAAAACTGCGATGATCTAGATCAAGTTTTGTTGGTCGGCCTTTATCTTGACTCATTGTTGTTGTTAGTTTTCCCATTATCTGAACCGTAAAATTTTTAATTTTCAGTGATTTCCAAATGATATAATTTTTTACTCGCTACATTAATCAAATTTTGATTGCCTTTTTGATTTCTTTTTAAGAGTTTCATTACCAGTTAAACTCGCTGCACTGTCACACTGGACAAATGAATCCTTTGGCGAAGAAATACAGGTGAGTTGCCAGCATCACCCGGAATCGTCTTTTTGATATAGAATAAGGTATCTGTGGAGTGGATAGATTATAGTGTGAAAGGCAAGGATTCGGCCGCTAACCGCCATTTGTAAAATTATCATTAAAAAATTGTTTTAAAAATCTGAGTGGTTCCGACGAAAATTTTTAACTGTACTAACATACTGAAGTGAACTGATGATCTCTAAGCATTTGTTTCTTTGGCATATAATAAAAATTAAATATTAAAATTATTTTCGGTATAAGGTTCAATAATATTCAAAAACAATGATGTAGTAAAAATTATTTTGAAATAAAATTCGTAAGGCACATGAAATATTTTAAATTTTAAAAAATTCATTAAAAGTTACCGACTGATTTCCGGTTCTTATAACGATCCCTATGCCATTTCCATGAACGCACTGACATCCATTCAACGCTATGTTTTGCGCATCTAATACGCTAACTCCTTTTTTCACCTCTTTACTGTGGAATTCAAGTGGTTCAACTTCACCAGTTACCCAAGATGTGTCTAGTTTTAGTTCATTCGTATAGATCAATCGTAGATCAGCTGGTACTCGTGTTCCAGGACTAAACAAATTTCAAAATATATAAAGAAATTGCCCAGAAGATCTTAGCGTAAACTCAAAAGGAATTAAAGGTATCTAAAAAACAGGTTTAAATTTTACGTTTTTAACAGCGAATGATTTCATGCCACATTCACTGCAAACTTATAAATTTCTATGAGGAATTTATAGGTTTCGTATTGCTCATTAAAAATTTATATTTGTGAAGAAGATGGAGACAATCTGCCAAATATAAGTACAGTCAGCGATGAGCAATTCTTCCTACATTCTTGGTCTCACTATTCTCAATATTTCTTACTTCTGGTTTGTTCAGTTCCACTAAATAACATAGTAAAAGTTCTTCATTAGAAATTCATAAATATATAGGGTATTCAGAAATCATAATGGCGGATTATTCTTCTCGAAACTTAGGATTTTGAATTAATTCGAATTGAATCATTTATATTTTCCAAATAAGTATCAGTTTTTACTCTTCCAATTGATTCGTTAACCACTTACCTAAGACATACAACATCGCCGAATACAATTTGCGCAGCATTAATTTGCATGCGTTCATTTGATCGAATAACAACACATGTTGTTGGAATCATTGATTGAAATCCACGTACTTGCTTTAAAAATATTATTTATTTCATTATAGTACCACAAGATTTGTACATTACTATGACAAATGACCGCTCTTAAAGAACAAAAACTAATATTTTCTTCTAGTTTAGCAAAATTTCTCACCTTGAAAGCTTTGTTCTCTTGCCAGTAGCTAACAATTGAAAGCGTAATGTAAACAATTAGTAAAAAAACAGCTAAGCCTAATTCGAGAGTTCTCTTTGGATCCAAACCATAGATAATGAAACAAGCTACAGCAGCTATTAGAAGAAACATTCGAAATGTATTTAAACACTGTTTAAAAAATTTTTTGAGAGAATCTTGTCGTGAAACTGGGCTAATTATGTTTCGACCATTTGTGATTGAACGAGAAATAGCTTCTTCCTTAAGAAATAAACAAATTAGTATGCACAATATTCCTCTATCTTTTTTTTATATTAAAAAAGAAACAAAATCACCTTCGTGAGGCCTTTGCTCTTTAAAGGATCTTCGGCGCATATCCTGGATAAGGGTGAATAGTCATTTAACTGTTCCAAAGTTAAGATGTGTTCGAAGAATTCCGAGTCAAAGTTGATATCCTGAAAAAAACATTCATTAAACCATTCACATTCAGATATGTTCATATGGTAACAATACTTCATAATAACTTAGATGTATAATAGATTTGATTTCAATTACAACTGCTTGATTTATTTTGCAGTTTAAGGTGGAAATAGAGTGCAGTTTATCGCCTTGAAAAGAATAAATTGGGTTTTTCAATTTCAAGATTTGGATTTATTTATTTTAAAATATTTCACGCGGTAAACCTTGACGATTTGTTGATGTATCGCATCTGAATTGCTGTCAACGGATTTTAAAGTTGATAGATTAGGACGATGATCCTGTGATAACCATTCGTGAATCTCTAAATATTTATCGAATACAAATAAAACGATACGAATAGCCAAGTGCAGGAGGAAATGAAAAGTGCGGATTGATTGGCGACATATGAAATTTCGCATAACGCGCATATTGCATTGCTCAAAACTGCAGGCTTTTGTTAATCGCTACGAAAATACAGGTAATTATGCGAATTATATGAATCACAGGAAGAGAAAATTCTGGTTATGTATAGCATTAATTCAGGACCACAGAACATTCTCATCAATTTTGCTCTTTATTGGCGGTTTTTGGGATGAAAAGAAATCTCATGCAATCCGAGCGAAACAATCAATGAAAATCTTTGGCGAAATACCGTCGAAATAAAGTGCTCATCTAGATTTTCCAAACGGAGTTTCTGCACACTCCTTATTTATAATCCTTTCTGATTCTTTTATGGTGAAAAAAAAACAAAAAGAGGAAAATACAGGTAATTATGCGAATCATATGAATCATAGGAAGAGAAAATTGAGGAGAACGCTTCGCCTCAACTAATGCCTCATTAATTCAGGAAGAATAGCTCTATTCGTTATTGCATAAAAATTTCCATGACTGCCTTATTTTTTTGATTTTTTTCTAAAAAATCTCACCACTTCTGGTTAGGCTTGCACCACTGGTTTGTCGGACTAAGCAGATTTCTGCAGGAAATCAATGATGGTATAAATATTGTATAAGCTGAATCAACAGCATCACGTTGATTTTTGAAAAAGATCTATTTAGAGCCTCAGCATCTTTCTCAAATGAATTTTACCAGAATTTTTTAAATCAGGAAAATAAAAACGAAGCAAATGGTGCTGTTTTTAATGGAATCAAATTTTCTCAAAAACAATCACCATTTCTGTTTAAGCTGGCTTCACTGGCTGTTAGGGCTCTTTTCCTAGAGAGTTTCTAATATAGAATTGCAAATATTCATCAGAACCACTCGACTTTTAATGACACGTTTTTGCTAGAAATCCCAGTAGAGGGAAACAAATAACGGTGAACAGAATATTGAATATTCTCTTTTGTGTTATAATTATTTTATTATTTGCCTTATAATTCGCCATTGTATGGGAGACAAACAACCAAGTAAATTTTTAAAATATCTTACTTTATTAGTATTGATGTTTAAAACAATCATAAATTACTATCATTTGCTTGAATTTTACTAATGGAACTTAAAAAACTTAGATGGAACTCTCTTCTTAATTAATAAGCAAAATTATTAATTCATTCTTAAATCTTTTTAAGTGAAGAGATTTAATATTTTACTTTTTTTTATACTTTTGATTATTTAACACGATCCGATCCCATAATTTATTGCGATAATTTTTAGTTATTTGAGACCAAACGAGTGTTCCGACAACAACGGCAATCCTAGTCCATAATCCGGTTATGTGTACGTAAAATGTCTGTTTCGGCAACCATGTGGTACGATCTTAAGTTTTATCCTAGTTGTGCTGATGACTCACTTGCATTTTCATCGCTAAATGACTGCCAAAAATGACGAGCACAAACCATTTGATATTTTAGAGAATTTATGATTTAATTCAATGCAATTGATTTTTAAATTTTGATTTTTTGATCAATAAAATAAATTTGAAATATTTTTATTAATAAAAAAGTGGTTAAAAAAATAATTTGTTTTCGACAATAAATTATCAAATTTTTTTTAGAAAATTGAGTATAATTATCGAAACTAAAAAAAACTAATAGAATCAAGCGAATGCAGCATTTTCCTTCTTGTGAAACATTTCATGCACCTTTCTTTATCACTTTGGCTCTTATCATAATTCAAAAAAATGGAATTAATCAAAGCATTTCTGCATTTTTTGATGTTTATATTTAAGTAGGTATTTATCCTCTGCTTTATCATTGAACTGATCATCTCGTTAAATGGTCGTTCTAGCGCAGCATTATTTTTAAATTTTCACACATATTATCATAAACAAATGAGAAAATTGTTAATTTTAATATTTTAATTTTAATATTAATTTTCATTCGACAATAATTCTGGAAATAAATGGACGAATCTATTGGTTATAAAGTGTATAATGTGGGAGACACAGAATGGCTCAGTGGGTTGTTGCTCAATTCCGATGCCGAAATCTACTCTCTGCAGGAATAACGTGTATAAAAATCCTGGTGATACTGGCGGCTCACTTGTACTTCTATCGCTAAGAAACTCCCTTGGCATACCTATCTAATGCAGATAAGTCAACGGAGCGAGTCTAACCAGTAATGATAAGGGTTTTTAAAAAAAAAAGGTGCAGTGTGAAGAGCATTCTAAGTAGAACTCGCTTTGTTGATATTTATATCATTAGAAGTGCAGGTGAGCACGGTTTTATATCATAATTAAAAGCAAATATCGAAGCAAATCGGCCAAAAGATTTATTTGATTGTAAATTATTTCGAAAATTTATTCAAAAGATTCCATTAGTACTCATTAAACTTTTAAAATTTGTGATTTAATCCTTTTGTGGAAAATTTCAAAAAAAAACCAATGTGAAACATAATTATCATAGATTGCAATGTTTTATAGAGTTTCAATATGTGTTTTGATTTTTAGAAAAATAAAGAATCCAATAATGATAAGAAATTTGATAAAACGAAGGTTTTTTCATTTTAGAGACGAATATAGAATGATTTTTTTTTTTAAAAAATGATAAGAAAATTTTTATTTTCTTGAAGACAAGAAGTAAAATTAAAATAATAAAAAAAATGGAAGTAAAATAAGCAATTAGCGCCCGCTAATTTCTGGTTAGACTGGTTACTATGATCTAAAATTTTCGAGAAATTGAAAGATAGAAGCACCAGTGATCACAGCACCATTTGTAACTTATATTTTTTTAGTGGAAAGCTTATTTCTGCTATATGTAAGGTGAGGAAAATAACACAAGAAAAGATAATATTATCCAGTAACAACTTCGCCCATCCTCGCCATTTTTATACTGTAGCAATATTATATGATTGCTGCCGCTTTTTTAGCAAATATTTAATGATAATGAACAAAACGAATTTTAGTTTCTTGACCTGAATTAAAAATTAGATCGATTTCTAATTCTAAATCCACATAAATAAACGCGAATACCAAGGTACCGTTCAACTATTGGCTATTAGGTTAACATAATAATCACCGTTACTATTGGGTATTAGGTTAACATATTATTTAATTGAATAATTCTTCCTAAAACAGCCGTTTCGTTCAATTTTTATAGGCATTTCATTTTTCGCAAATATTTCACTGATGCCAACCACCTATATTCATTTTTTTGACTTTTTTGCTCACAGACTGGTAAAAAAAGAAAGGTAAACTACTATAATACTTTTTATGATAATTCTAATAGAAAGGAGAAAAATCCCATTTTCAAAAATCTCAAGAAAAAAGTTGTCTCACTCATTTTTTTCACTACAGACGAAATATAAGTGATTTCGCATTTATTGAATCAGCTGGATATTCGCATAAGTTTGAATTTTTCTGGACAATAAAATTGAACCCACACGGGTTGTCTTTAACTGAACACCTTTATTTAATTAAGTCGCGCTTCTTGCCACGTTTGCGGCAAACCACTCTAATTCGATGTCGATGAAAATAAAAAAAACAGTTATTTTTATTGCTCTGGAGAAAAATAAATAATGAACTAACCTGGAAAATTTGAAGATGCTGCTCTACTCATTTCATTTCATCCATGTTAAATGCGCTATTAACGTCAGATTACAAGTTTTAAACCTCTGAAATTTCTTACATCATCAGGAAATACTCCAAATAAAATCGGTGCAGTCGATGGGAATCAGTCTAACGGCGACATATTAACAAAAATTGGTCGAAATCACGGAATTTTTTTGGTTAAAAAAAGATTCTATATGAAGCGAAATTAAGCATTTCGCAAATCAAATGAAAAAATCAAAGTAAAATCGCGAAATGGCAAAATGAAAAATTAAAAAATTTTGAAAGTGCCAGTAAAGCATTAGAAGAATTCAAACAATTATTTTCTTTGGACTTTTCTACTAGAAAAATTTTCTTGAAGGTAATTACGAAATGATAATGCGGTTGCTTCAATCTGCGTCGAGCATCAGAGGTTCTTTGAGAAAGACAAAAATGAACCTATCATTGGGTAATGCTGGCGACCTATTTGTACTACTGTCGCCAAGTGATGGCAAAAATTTTTAATTGAATTTTACTTACAACGAGAGAAACTGACCTATCTGAAATGATCTAAATTTATCGCATATGCTGATGTTTTTATTTTTATGTTTTTTAATTTAATTTTCTATTTATATATGCACATGTGGGAAGGCAGAAACTTTCTCCATAGACATTTTCTGATTTTGCAATACACTTTATTCGTCCTTAAGCTATTTGATTCCCTAAAATTAGTAGGAAATATATTTTTGCTAGATGACGCTAAGACAATAAGGTTAATGTAATGGATACTTTAACATATGAATTCTTTTCATATGAATTTTTAAAATTCACAGCAAAATTCATTCCCCTTCATGGAACCATAAAAGACCTATACAAATGGTAGAAAAACACATTTAAATGAGTTGCAATATTTCTGCTGCTTTCGTCGTCATTAGTTTCTAGTCTATGAAACTTTTTTTGGACCATTAACAACTGAAAAAAATACACGGTTCTATTTCTAAGAGACAAAACGCTATAAGTATTTTTTTCGTTAGTAAATACCAGTTCAATTTAATTTTTAAAAATGATGTTTAAGGAGAA